AGAAGCGAAACGGCGAGAAGGTAAATCACATTAGTTTTCCTTCTGTTTTTGAAGGATGTTGGCTTCTCGGAGGCTTCCTTGGAACGCTGCGCGACCTCTTCTTGGAGCCGTCTTGGGGCGCCCTTGGGGCCTCTTGGAGCATATTCGGAGCCATCTTGAGGCATCTTGTCTTAGGCTATCTTGAGCCATATTGGAGGTCATCCTGGGCTCTCCGAGGCGCTCTCGTCTTGGGCCGTCTTGGACGCTCCAACGCGTCGCGAAACGCCCCGTCCAGGTCCAGGGGAGAGGGGCCACGACGAGTCTGATTATGGCATATGATGAATCTCCCCACGCGCGCGCAGCACCCCTGGCGCGCCAAAGTGCGCGCGGCGGTCCGGGGCATGATTTGTTGCGGTCGTGGCCTTGCTGGGGCGACTTGCGAGCGGATCGCAAGCGGTGGCGGGCGGGGCGCGGGCGGGGCGCGGGCGCGAGTCGCGGGCGGCTTGGCCTCGCTAGCATTCGCAAGCGCGTCGCGGCGCGACGGCAACAACAAGCAACCAACGCCCAACCTACGCGCGGCCGACCTACGCCTACGCGCGGCCGACCTACGCCCACGCGCCCGCAGAGGGTGAAACCTGCGCGGTGAAAACAGCCCGTGCACATCATCAAACATATGCGCCCAATGGCGGTGGATAAAAAACGATGATAACGGTGCCGACAATGATGATGGTGATAGCGATAAGGTTGGTGGTTGTCGTAATATTAAAATTATTCGGGTGTTGATTGTGATAATGCTGATGATGGCGATGCCAATGCTATTATTGCTGTTCGTGATGTGATGCTCCTTGGTCTGTCCGCTCGCGTGCGTGCGCGCGCGCGTGCGTGGCCGCGAGCAAATGCAAAAGTGCGATCGCCGCCCCGGGGCCTCGCACTTTTCGTCGGCCGTGCGCGCCCAAAACGCCCCCCAGAGCACTAGAGCACCAGCTCAAACTATCCAAGTTGTCGGCTTCCGCCCCAGAGTTCACCACGCCGTCGCGCCCGGCCGCGGCTGCCAGCGCGCGCTCGTCGCCCGGTACGCAGTAGCGCACGGTGGCGTCGAGGAACAGCCGGGGCCGCTCCGCCCGCTGTACCTCGAGGTCGAGGATGGCCTCCTCCCTCTCCGCCTGGAGTGCGGTTCCGCAGCTGCCGCAGGGCGCCGCCGGCCGGTCCGGCGAGCGGCCGCCCGTGTCGCAGGTCTGGCAGCGCCAGCACCAGCGGTCCCACGCTGGGACGTGCGTCTGGTGCTCCACCCGGAAGCCGCACTCCGCGTGGATACGGCCCCAGGCGCACTCCAGGTCCCCGCTGCGCGCCTTGAGGCCGCCTCCGCGGGCGCAGCGCCAAGCGTGGCGCGCCCGGTCGCCGAGCGCCTCGCCGCAGCGCTGCCCAGCGCGCTGCCCGGTCCGCGCGCGGTTGCAGCAGGTCGCGCCAGGGGGGGCAGCGGCCTGGCCGAGCAGAGTGCTCGCCGTGCTGCAGTAGTCGGCGTCGTCGAGCCGCTGGGCGTCCTCCTCCTCCTCCTCCAGTTCCTCCTCCTCCTCCTCCTCCTCCTCCTCCTCCTCCTCTTCCTCTTTCTCCTCCTCCTCCTCCTCCTCCTCCTCCTCCTCCTCTTCCTCCTGCCTTCTCTTCCTCCTCCTCCTCCTCCGCCTCCTCCTTCTCCTCCCCCTCCTCCACCTAATGTTCCTTCCCTTTCTCCACCTCCTCCTCCTCCTCCTCCTCCTCCTCCTCCTCCTCCTCCTCCTCCTCGGTGATTCGGTGATGCGGACAAGTTTGCATCGAAGCGTCGATGCCCTCGAGCCCTCCCCCCACGACCTCCGGGGGGAGGGAGGCGTCCTCCTCCCTCGCCTGCACTTCATCGTTCTCATCATCCTCATCATCACCATCACCATCACAACCGCCAACATCACAACCACGCCCAGCATCGCCACCAAACCCATCATTATCATCATCTTCCTCCTGCTCCTCCTCATTACCATCACCATCACCATCACCATCACCATTACCACCACAATCACCATCACCATCACCATCATCATCATCACCATCACCACATCAGCATCAGCATCATCAGCACCATCATCCTTATCATCACCACCACCATCAGCATCATCATCGGCAGCATCAGCATCAGCATCATCACCATCACCAGCATAACCATCAGCATCACCAAAAATCATCAGCATCATCATCAACATGATCATCAGCAACATGGTCATCATGGGCGTGTCAGCCACCACCACACATAAGACTGCGTGTATGGGCCGATGGCCCAGAATAAAGTATCAAAAGCGTCGGCGTCGTCCCTATCTTCAACGACACCATCCACATCCTCGTCACAATCCTCACCCTCAGCATCATCGTCATCAGCAACATCATCGTGGACCATCCTCTCCTCACCATCATCCTCCTTACCCGGGCCCTCTTCCAAAATAACCAGCAGCATCATCATCTCCACCATCATTATCATCCTCGTCCTCCTGCTTGTCCTGCTCATGCCCCCCACCCTCCGTTCTCCTCCTCCAGCACCTTCCTCCTGCTCCTCCTCCTCCATTATCCTGCCTCTGCCTCCTCCTCATCCTCCACCTCCTTCTCCTCCTCCTCCTCCTCCTCCTGTCGGTCGGTCGGTACACACAGGCTGTCTTGAATTTCCGTAGCCTAACCGGGCGAGGATCAGCAAGTACAAGTGGAGAGAGGAAGAGAAAGAAACGCGTCAGGGGGCCACCCACCCGCGATAGAGGGCCAGTCTGGGAGCCCCCCTTCCTCCTCAGCAAAGAAGTCGACGAACAGTTTCCAGACAAACCCCGCGGGCAACGGCGATTCTTTGGCCACGTCGTTCCCACGGCCACGCGGATCATGTAAGCAAGACAGGACGCGGTACAGCAATCAATGTTGGCGCTGTCATTCTCGTTTTCCTGTACAGTGATCGCTCCAGAATTGGCATTGCACAACGCACGGCTGCCCGCTTCCAGCCTGCTCAGTTGCATCCTGTCCGAAAGTGAACTGATGGCTCCGTGTGGGGGCTCGATGGAACATGGTATTCCTCTGCAGCTGGCTGCTGCCACAAGACGCATGCTGGCTCGCATCTGTAGATTCTCCTGGTCGGGGGGGGGGGTCCTCTCAGCCACCGTCGCAGCACATCTACCCCATGCTTCCCCCCTCGGCATCAAACCTCTGGCTGGCAACCTGGGATGCCCTGGCCTCCTCACCAAAAGCTCCCCCCAAGTGGCCACTGATGGCGTGGCAACGGCAACAACCATGTGAATTCTGAAAATCATTTGGGCCCCTCAAAGCACCCCGGTCTACCGTGACCGTCGGGGGGGGGCACGGTCACTCACTTCGCGCGTCTGTTCTCCCAAATCCTCCGAACACCTACCCTGCACCGTGACTCAGAGCACCAGCGGCTGTCCGCACCAGGTTTGAAGGAGAGCCGTCAGGTTGCAAGCGGGAGCCCGGGGCACAACGGCCGAATTCCCCGTTTAACTGCGCGACCTCTTGTGGGGTGGGCTCAATCTTGAAGATGCGCGGCGGAGGTGGCAGAGGCGAGGGGGGGGTCGCAACAAAATAATGGACCACGCGTGCCCAAGGGAGGGAAGGTGACAGCATCGTCATGTCTCCCTGTAATCCTGCTTCGTTTCGGGTCGTCAATGGCTTCTTGTCTGCTGGCGCTGCTGTCTCCTGAACATTCGCCTGCACGGCGGCGATCTCTGCCATAACCTTGGTACGGGAAGCGTCCATGCGGGACTTGATTGCAACAGCTTCAGGTCAGGATGGGTGGAGCGGCAACGTTACGGAGAAACGGGGACACCAGTACCAGCAGCAGGAAAAGCAGCAGCCTCGCGCCTCGCGCCATCGTCGGTCGAGATGAAGCCTTCCTTGTACTCGTCGGCAACGGTCGTTCGACGGCGGCTGTCATGCTGACGGGAAGTCCTCTGGGGATGCACTGTCGGAGAACGCTCAATCCCATGAGCCATCTGTCGCACCCACAAGACTTGTGATGCAACCTCGGCTACACCAGTAGCCGACGGAAGAAATGAGAGAGACAGGAAACACTGAAGTCTCCGCCTGTGCACGACACACCGGATCGCTCGGAAGAGAGCTGCCCGCTCAAAATGAGACCTGTTCCCACTTGAGCCAGGATGGCAACGGACCTCCTCCTCCTCCTCATCATCATCCTCTTCCTTCCCCCGCCTCAACAAAAGCCAGCCCTTCGGCACTTCTCGCGCGTTCTGGCCATGATTTCTCGAGGGGGGATCCAGCCGTGGCGGCCAGAAGCCCCCGTGAGGCCCCGAAGAGACGGACAGAGACTCGCCCTTCGATCCTCGGAATCCTCCGCGCCCCCGCCCCCGTTGCGATCGGGGGGACGGCCAGGGCGCCTGTCGTAGGCGCCTCCCCTGGGGAAGCCAAAAAGGTACCGACAGAAGGGTAGTGATATCAGTATCTCAGGGCCCGAGCTAATCAGTGTTTTTCGGCTTTCGAATTGTGCTCGAGTTCCCTCGTGATATCTTCGTTGCGCGTTGTTGTATGCGTTTACTGCAAAGCAAAACACAAGGGAGGAAACGGCCCACGGAATCGCCAAAACACCGTCTAATTCGCGCCCTTCTACATATTTCTATCCATGATCCTCCCCCCCCCTCCCCCTCCTCCCTGACGTCATGACGTAAACCCCCAGAGGTCTCGACCCATTGCCCGGGACCGGCTTTGCATCCTGAGTCGTTTGTTGACAGTCATTGAGCCTAGCGAAGGCCCCAGAGACCGAAACTAACAGAAAACCTCCTGTCGCGTTTTTTCCGCAACGCGAATGTTTGCGATATCTGTATACGTTCCTCTTCTGATACACCCGTCGTCGCCGCCGCGGCCGCCGTCGTCGTCGTCGTCGTTGCGATCGGGAGGCGCCCAGGCGCGGGGCTTGTCGGACGCCCCTCCCCGTCGTGGTCCCCGTCGTCGTCGTCGTGGTCCCCGTCGTCGTCGTCGTCGTCGTCGTCGTCGTCGTCGTCGTCGTCGTCGTCATCGTCGCGATCAGGAGGTGCCCAGGCGCGGGGCTCGTCGTAGGCTCCGAGGTCCAGCGCGCGAACCAGCCAGCGCGCCTCCGCGGGCGGAAAAGGCGGGAATCCCGCAGCCGCCAGTCCCTCGCGAGCCAGCGATCGTTAGGGGCGGCGTCGGGCCACGTCCCTCGGCTCCCCGGGGCCGAGACGTGCAGCGATCCTGGGGATCTTGGCGTCGCAATGTTTCCATACCCGGCGATTTCGCCCTGTATCGGGCCCCAGGATGCCGCAGAAAGAGAAAGTCGCAACTTTGCAGTCGCATCTCAGGGCACGTCTCTCGCCCAGACATCTGGCGTCTCGATTTGTTCGAGACACGGGCCCCCGATCTCTCGACCACTTCCCTTAGGCTCTAAGGCCGGCTTTGACGGGCCCGCGGCCCGGTGATGGCCCCAGGAGGCCGAAAGCTGTGAAAAACCGTCCAGATTGTTCCGAGACGCCAGATGTCTGGGCGGCTCCTCGGGGCCGAGGCGTGCCACGGTCTGCTCAGCGGCGCAACGCCAGTAGGCTGGAGTCATGGAGGCATACCCGGTGGCTGCAGGAGCTCAGCATGCGGAGCTGGGCGCACGCGCGGGGAGCACGCACAGAGGGGCAGCTCCTCGCCTGGCCACGCGAGGGCCGGGCGCGTGAAGTGGCGCGCGGCAGTGCGGGCCTCCAGTACTGGCCCAGGCTGGCCGCGCAATACGCACCCATATTCCCAGCGTCTTGAAAGTTACCCGAAACGTGCCCAGCATTTTCTCCACACGAGGCAGCTCTTTGCGAGCGCTCCATACAAACGGAAACACATCGTGAGAGATGCACGATCTGCGCAGCAAAGAGCAAGGGCCGATGGACTTCGGTTTCCTGTAAACCTACCACGGAACAAAACTGCGACCAAGAGAATATTGTGCGAAACGTTCAGACAACCACATGCTCCTAGAACGACGGACGCAATAGTAAATCAAAGACCTCCGCCAGAAACAATATAAGCTCATGTCGCGCACACCAAAAACAAACATTCAAACACGTTTTTCTGTCAGCTAATGGGCAAGCCATGAGCTCATGGACCACTCATGACGCTGGAAAGCACATGGGTAATGCGTGTCTCCAGCTCTGGTCCAAACCACCTGGGCAATGCGCGCCAAGACCTCCAATGTAATATCACCAGCCCTGTAGGGCCTTTAGGGCGTAAGTGGTCTAATGTGTTTTCCATCTGCCCCTTTTCCCCTTCGGGAAGGGTTTTATCACTGTTTCTTATTAGTTTACAACCCCCCCACCGGGCTGGCGGCCAACCTGGAACCATGCCCACCCCATGCGGGTCCGCCCCCCGCCACCCCTGTCAACACAATCCGAACTCTGCCTCCACATTTGGAGCATGCGCGGCCAACCCGATGCGGCACCCATCATCCCTCGAAGAAATCAATGCGAAGTACACTTTGGGGCAAACTCTTGAGTGATGTTCGTGAGGCCCGCGAGTACTTTATATAGTTTTTGGCAGGATCGGCGGGGGTGTCAGCATATTCCCTGCTGTGCGCAGGGCTACCACCCCTGTTTTTTATACAAAGAACAAACAAACAATACCACATGCATATTGCGGCTGAATCTGGACCATGCGCGGCCATCCCGCGATCACTCTCAAGTGGTTTTTGACAGGGGCGGCGGGGGTGGTGGCGCGTGACCTGGCGTGCGCAGGGCCACTAGACACAATGATGGGCATTGGTTTTCGACAAGGACGGCGGGGGCCGACGTGTTTCCCGATGTGTGCTGTCACGTGCGCAGGCGCACCTGACGCACTCTGCACGTGCCCCGAACGTGGCGCACCTGGCGCGGCTGGAGTGCGCGGCACACCTGGCGCACTTGGGGCAGGTGGCGCATCTGGCGCACCAGGCGTGCCTTGCACGCTCGGGCCCCAGGGGTGCCTGGCGCGCGTGGCGCCCCTGGCACGCGTGGCGCACCTCGCCCAAGCGTCGCGCACCTGGGGTCGGCTTTGGTTCCAAGTAGCTGCCCATCCAAAAACGACCGCTGAACATGCCCAGGCTCGGGTGTTACTTATGTGTCGGGAGGGCGGGTGGGAGTGAGCTAGACGGCTTGCGGGTGGGCGGGTAGCTTGACCCCTTCCCCATACCCCTCCCCTGGACCTGGACGGGGCCGGTCGCGAGGTGTCCGAGCGCCCAAGACGGCCTCGGCGAGGAAGCCAGAATCATTGGTTTACATCCAGGTTTTGGCCATAGTTTGGCCTCGTGGGGGGGCTGCAGCGCTAATTTGAGCCCCCCTCTTGTTTGGTCGATGTCCTCCAAGATGGCCCAAATATGGTCCCCAAGGCTCCCAAGGGCGCTCCAAGAGAGCCCCAAGAGGTGCTCAGGAGGCCCCAAGAGGCCCCCAAGAGGCCCCCAGGATGCCCCCCAAGAGGCTCCCAAGAGACCCCGAAGAGGCCCCAAGGAGCACCCCAGAGGCACCTAAGACGCCCCAAGATGCCGCGGCGAGAATGCCAAGACCATTGGTTTTACCAAAGTGTTGGCCACAGTTTGGCCTCCTGGGGGGGGGGGGGGCGGGGGCGCTGATTAAGATGGCTCCAAGAGCGCCTGGGAGGGCCCAAGATGACCTGCAAGATGGCTCAAGATATCCCAAGATGCCTCAAGCTGGCCCCCAAGATGCTCCGAGAGGCCCCAAGATCACTCCAAGACGGCTTCAATTGCCAAAGAGCTCCGCCAGGAGGCCCCGAAGAGGGCAACATCTTCCCCAAACTAAGAAAACATGTTTGTTGCTTTCTCGCCTTCTCGCTTGCTGTGGCCATCCGAGGCCTCAAGATGGCTCCAAGATGGGCCAAGAGGGCCCAATAGAGGCTCAAGAGAGCCCCAAGACGGCACCAAGAGCGCCCAAGAGCGCTCCAAGAGCGCCCCATCAGCGCCCCAAGAGGCGACGCTTGGGGCTCCCGAGGGGCAACGCTAATTCATGCTCCCCTCTTGTTTGATCGATGCACTCCAAGATGGACCCAAGCGCCCCCAAAGGCTCCCAAGAGAGCCTCAAGAGGGGCCCAAGAGGCGCCCAAGAGGCCGCCAAGAGGCTCACAAGAGGCCGCCAAGAGGCTCACAAGAGACCCCCAAGAGGCCCCAAGAGGTCCCCCGAGACGCTCCAAGAGGCCCCCAGGACCGCCAAGAGGCCCCCAAGACGCAAGAGAGGCCCAAAAGAGTCCCAAGACGGCCCCAAGTGTGCCCAAGAGTGTCGCAAGAACGCTCCAAGAGGGACCCTTCATCTGCGTGCTGTCCACTTCCCTGATCGAGGCAAATCCTCTGGGCATCGTCTCTGGACAGGCGGGTGCGGGTATTTTTTTTACAGCCGCAGGCGGAAGCGCCAGCGGCGGAAGGTCGCGAACGGGCCGCGGACGCGACTAAATTACCTAACGCGCGCAGGGCCGCGGATCAGGCGGCTCACGGCAGCGCCCAGGGGGCCGAAGCCGGTGCAATCCAGGTGCCATGACAGCCCCTGAACGGGCATGCAGGTGCATAGAGACGCGAAGCGTCTAGACTTGAAAAACAAAACGCACATATTGTTTGTCCGTTTTCGGCCTCCAGGGGCCCTCGCCAGGCACGGAGACCGCCAAAACATGGCTCGAGATACAATTTCGGCCCGAGCGAAGAGGGTCAGGACTTCCAAGGACCCCGCTTTGAAAAACCAAAAATTCAAATCTCTGAATGCCAAGCCTCTGGGGTACATTCGAACGAAACAACTTGCGGAAGTATTCGCGGGGTCCTCGGGTTAACGCTGGGCCTCCGTCCTAACCGCGCACCCTTCGGCGCGCAGTGCGCCTGGGGTCACCGCAGGGGGCGCTGCCGAGGATGCGCGGAGGTGGGGTCTGCGCCGACGCAAGGGATCCGCACGGACGCCCGAAAGTGCGCGTTTACCCGCTGGTCTTCTGCAACACAAGCACGCAGAAGAAACTCTGCTGTAGGAAATGCAGGGGCACAAGGGTCACCAACATTTGGAACCATCAGGGAAGCACCATAACCCATCGGAATCGCAGGGGCCATAGGGGGAACGAAAAATCTCAATGGGGCACCCGCTGGCGAACCGATTTCTTCTTTGGGCGATGCGCCCACGCCTCGCGTCTGAGGCGCAGCTTGAAGGCAAGCCAAAAGCCGATCCAGAGGGGAAGAAAAAGGTCGAGGACGAAAGGGAATATGGCCCTTTGCCCGTAGGGGACCTCCAGGGCTCCAGGGACTCCCCTCGTTGCAACTGCTGGATTCGCATCGACGTCGCGGCCTGCATGCCCTCCAGGGGTGGTTTGGGGGGCGAACGCGGGGTGGACGAGGAACCTCGCGCGCGAGGGGGGCGCGCGTCTCTTCGCGCCCCGCCCGCTCCGCTGACCGAGCCACCAGGGGTCGTGAAGCCGACGCCCAGGGGGCCGACGTTGAAGCTGTAGTTGATCATGGCGTTCTGCTTGAGAACGAAACCAGCGTCGCCGTCGGGGGCGAGCTCTTGAGCAGGAGGTAGCGCATCCTCGCCAGTCGCCAAAGATATCGGGATCCACTTCTCGCGTTTGGCGTCTGGTGCTGGGATCCTGATGAAGCAATCCTGGGGAATGGCGGAATCGGTAGCCCACGGTCGTCATCATGACAGGCGGGCATCTGATGGGTGGTCACGCTGGCTGGCGGGAGGCACGGAGGTTGAATCTTCCGCCACCCCCAAGGACGCAGCAACGCAGATCACCATCTCCAAATAATTACGTCTGAAGCCGTGGGTCCATGAAGATGCGGGGACCCCGGTCTCTGAAGTTCTCACATTGCACGCGGAGTGGCGCGCTTGCAAAAGCATCCATGGACGACACTTCCATCAACAATACCGCTCGCGACTCCGCCTCCCTATCCTGGAGGCCAGCACAAATTTACATGGATATAATTTGAACCACAACACAATTATCGTCGTTGGCGAGGTGGTCGAAGAATGTCTGTCTCAGCTGTGATTCCGCAAAGCCAACGCACCACTCCACCCAGCGCTGTTCGTCGCCCAGGCACTCGTCCTGGTAGAGATAACTGGGGCAGCATTGCTCGGAGAACTTGAGGAGAATCCGCTGAAGGACCGCGCAATGGTCGCAGACGTGGCGAGGGGCACTCGGCAAAGACCACGCGCGCGACTGATGGACGTAGTTGCCGTCGGGAACCACCTCCAGCATCACCATCGCCTTCGTAGGGTCGCCACCCAGCAAAGAAGCCCGGCGTAACGGCGGCCCGGCAATGACAATCGCAGACAAGCAGACGGGCGGGCACCATTGCGGGCCCCAGATGAGGAGGAAGAAGGAGAGGTACAAGTGAGGGCCGCGCGAGAAGGCGAAGAAGCACCGTTGCGGGCCCCAGCAGCCCTAGAAGAAGACGGACTGACTGCAATCGGACGAGCGCCCGGCCAAGCACCCCCAGGGAAGCCCAGGCATGGCCTCCGCCACGCACGTCTGAGCTCATGCTGGTTGACCTTTTGGTAGCATGAGAGGTACTCCCACAACGAATTCTGCGCGTCGCATCCGAACACATGCCATCCAGAAGTGGCAGACAAACGATTGCGGTTCGTGGCGCCCGACCACCATGCAGTCGGGCACGGGCGCGGTGCCAGCCCTCCTCATCGTAGGCGATGCCCTGCCGCGCCTGCTTGGCAGGATGGCCGGCCACGCACGCAAGGCTGAGATACGTGAGTGTGCCGTCATCCGCCGCCATGTGGACAATGGACTCCTGCTGCACACGAGCACGGAGGGCGGCGGCCGCACGCTGCCTCCCGTCCCCCTGCTTGGCAGAGGGTTCAAGATCAGCCGTCGCGAGGGCGCCCAGGGCGCGGCCGCGCTGAGAGGGTCGGCGTCAACGACGCGCTCCCTGATGTCGATCAGAGAAGCACCACCCAAGGTTGTCTTGAAGACGCGGTCCATCTGCAGCTTGCTCTTCTGGACAACGGGGTCCCAAAAAGAAGATCTCGAGCTGCGTGCACAGGGCTCGGCACTCCGTCAGCGGCCGCATCGTCAGGGCTTGTGTGGTCGCCTCCTGCGTGCAGCCGAACATGTGCCACGAGCGGGCGAAGCAGCGGACTGTTGCCGCGAGCCCCACAGAGTGCTGCTGCAGCACCAACATCACCCTCCTGCACAAGCATGCTCTTGGCCTTGAGTGTCTGGGGCGAAACGGCGGACGGGTGCAACTCTGGCAGGCGCCACTTGCCGGGGCCTTCGCTCACCTGGAGGCGCGTCTGCGTGTGAATCTCGTAAGACACCGCCAACTCCAACAGGCGCACGGTGCCGTAAGAGTCGCGGGGAAGAGCATCACAACGGTCTGGCCACACCAGAGTGCGAAACCACTGGAGGAGGCGGTTGTAAAACTGGCGGCCGTGCACCAGCTGCTTGCCGAACACCGCCGGGGGCAGAAAACAATCCTTGTTGCGCCACGGGGTCGCAGAGGCAGGAGTCACGTGCGAACGGGTGTTGCGGCGGCAAAACGTCGGAGCCGTCAGCGCCGCCAGGGGCTGGGCCACCAGGAGCGCCGCCGCAACTTGCAAACACGTGAGCCTTGTTCCCTGTCACCACCACGCGTCGGGCAGGGCGGGCGCGGAGGGCGTCATCAAACTTCTGCCAATGGTCACCGTTCGGCCGGGCAGCGTAGAACCCTGGCAGCCTGCGGCCGGCAGTGGCGACGCGAGCCTGGGCCTCGTCCGACACGGACTTGTCAATTACAGAGGCCTTCGCCATCAGGGCCAGATCAAAACTCATGAACCCCACGAACAACAAACCCTACGACATGATGGTGCCCATGGACATGAGCGGTGACCGCCACTACAAGGACGGGGGCGCGATTGCCCGGTCGTGACCACTACGAGGCGCACCAGATAGGGATACCCATAGGCCAGCGACCCATGCCTATACTTTATGCAAAACTTCTACGACGACAGGAGGAAGACGAGTGCGACAACGAGAACAACGAGAGCAACGTGAAGCAGAAGGGAACTACCGAGAAGTAACAATACCTGCTCGAACGAAGACAAGTGTAAAGCTGAGCACTTCGACTTGGCAAAAAACGACTCGAGGGAGTCATGGCGAGACCGGCCTACCTCAAGCAGGGGAATATCACGAACTACTACAGCGTTACAGACAACGGTATTACGTGCATGTACCACATCTACAACGCTACAGGCAAGGTACCGCGTGTACAATGTCACCACCAAGGCACTACGTCTACGGCAAGTACATCTGCTACGGTTCAGTGGCCCCGCCGCTCCACCCACCTCCCCTCCTCCCTCGGTGGCCAAGCTTGTACAAGAAGGCTGGGCCGCCTCTCCCCCCTCCTCCCCCTCATCTGGAAACGGTCCCCTGGTGGCAACCGGGAGGCCCCCGCACTTGCGCCGGTCAGCCGCCCGCCCCGAAGGGGGGCCACGGGAGGAGAAGGAGGAGAAGGAGGAGGAGAAGGACAAGGAGGAGGATGAAGTGAAGGAGGAGGACGAGGACGAGGACGAGGACGAGAAGGTGAGAGCGGAAAAGAAGCATGGCTTGGACGAAGAGAAAGAGGGAGGCGAGAGCGGAAGAGAGGGATGACGAGGCCGAGGACTAGCGAAAGGAGGGGGAGAAGGACGAGGAGGATTGACCAGGACTACGACCCGGACTGGAAGAAGGGCTCGAAGGAGGGGGGCCTCCTCCTCCAGCCCAGGGCCGCGGAGGCCGCGCAGGCGCCCGAAGAGGCGGATCTGCTCGCCGACGGTGAGCCCCGGAGACAGCTGGTTGTCCTTGGCGATGTGCACCCGACGGGGGAGCAGGGCGCGGTGCGGAGGCCTGCCTTCGACCCTTGAGGGGGGTCGAGGCTGCACGGCCGCACGTGGTGCAGCGGGCCCTGTGAGCCAGCCGTCCGCATATGGCGCACCTGAGTCCTGTTGATGTTGCTGTTGCAGTTGTTGTTGTCGTTGTTCTTGTTGTTGCTGTGCTGTTGTTGTTGTTGTTGCTGTTGTCGTCGTTGCTGTTATTGTTGTTGGCTGTTGGCAGTTGTTGGTTGTTGGCTGCTGTTGTTGTTGTTGTTGTTGGTAATGCTGTTGTTGTTGCTGCTGTTGTTGAGTTCTCATTCCTTAGGAATAGATATTGCTGATCCCCGCCCTCTGGGCACAGTCAGTTGTTTCAATTGTTGTTTCACAGGATACTTCCTCACAATGTGTTCCCAAATCGCGCTCTCGCGCGGGATGTCCACAAAATCTGTGCAGAAATCGCGCTCTCGCGTGGGACTTCCAATTTGTTCAAAAGCCGCGCCCTCGACACTCAGGAATCACGCCCTCGCTGTGGATTCCTCCAGATTCATTTTGGAATCGCGCTATCGCTCGAGACTTCCGCGCTTTTCATGCAAGACGCAAGCTTCAGAAACCCGCCTGCTCGACCTGGCCGCCTGGGCCCGCCTTCTAGGGCCTAAGCGCCCGATCTGCCCGTCTGATTCTGCCCCGCGCTTTCTGCTCCTAGCCCCCCTTTCGCTACTCTCTCTCGTGCTCCATCCTCCTTCTTCCCCCCTGTCCTTTCCTTGCATCAGTCCTCTCGTCCCCTGCCTCAGGGGCTGCACGAAATACGCGTCGCAGGTAAGGAAGATATACCCCCAGGGGGGCACGATCGAAGACGAAGAGGGCGGGTATCGAGGTTTTCCAGCGCAATTTCGGAGGGGCAGAAGGAACGACCGAGTAACCCGTGCACTCCGTGGCTAATCGCGGCAGAGACAGAGACGAGGCGGGAAGAACGGGCAGCGTGGTTGCCAAAAGCGGCTGCCACGCACATGAGTAGCTTAAACACTGGCCCATACCAGAAGTAAGGAAGCACCAGCCATGTATGCTGATAGATCTGAGCCCAAGCTCCATGAACGACCACGTAAACTTAAAAGCCCAACCACCACTATAGGAGAAACCTACAGCCGAGGCGACCCTGCCGCCAAGGCAAAGGGAACCAGCTCTCGAGAATCGTGCAGATAAAGCGGCACGAACAAGTAAAGCATCGATGAAGATGGCAGCCCGAACAAATCCAGACCAAGCGCTCGAGGGTTTGGGATATACGTGTTGCATGGCACGCGAACAGATAAGAGCAACACTCTGGAACTTATGATTGTTGTTGCTGCTGCTGTGTGTGCTGTTGGTGCTGCTGTTTTCTGTGTGGAGGCTGAAGGGGCGGGGCCGATCGGCCGCGTGGGGAGAGGAGGAAGACGAGGAGGAGGCGGAGGTGGAGCGGCTACACCCGATTCCTGTGCTGCGGCATGAAGTATCTTGCCTGCGCACAGTCTGGCGCAGGGCGGCCGACCTGCCCTTGGCCCTCGAGGGTTGAGGAGGGGAGTGTCCGATGCTGTCTCGAGGGCTCGCTTCGAACGCTTAGCCCTCGTCGGGCCTCCTGGGAGCCTACGCCGCAGCTCAGGATGAGGAGCGGTACGGTAGGGTCGTGCGGCGTCGGCGCGCGCAGAGGTTTCTGACACCGCGTCGATCGGTCCACCTTGAACTGATCGCGGCCCCGATCGTTCCAGGTTCAAAGCCGTCGGGTCCTGTGGCGTTACCGTGCCCCTCGGTTCCTCCGCGTCGTTCGATCATGCGGAGTTCAACCTTGAACGCCTTCGCAGGCGTCGCCGGCGCGCCAACGCCGCATGACCCTACCGTATCTTGCCTGAGCACCGTCTGGTGCAAGGCGACTCACCTGCCGTTGACCCTCGAGGGTCGAGGAGGGAAGCGTCTGGATGCTGCCTCGAAGGTTCGTTCTCGAAGGCTTTCGCACGACGAAAGCAAGGCACGGATGAATTCGGGTGAGGAGAAACAGAAAATCTCTGAGATCTGATGGCTCTGGAGGATGTATCGGGCGCCGCGGCCTTCTCACAGCGTTCAGGAACGCTCCGAGAGCGTTCCCGAACACTCTGGAACGGACTTACCCTCGTCCTGGCCCTGCCTGACTTTGGCCCTCATCGGGCCTCCTGGGAGCTTACCGCCGTTGCAGCACAGGAGCAGGGGCGGCAGAAAAAACGTAGCAGGGCAAGGGGGGGGCTCCCCTCAGAAGAGGCGCCCCCACGGCCCTCCTGCCATCCACGGGGTGAAGGGGCCCAGGGACACACACACACACACATACACACACAAATATATATACACACAAACATATGTATATATACACATATCTATATATATATATATGTATCACATATATATATATATGCATAGATATGTGTGTGTGTTCTCGCCCCCCTGTGATCATACATGTCGCCTTCTTTCTCCTCATCCAAATCCTCCTTCTCCCCCTCCTCGTCCTCGTCGTCGTCGCCCCCCTCCTCTTCCTCATCACCCTCCTCTCCCTCCCCATCATCTCCCCTCATCCTTTCTTCTCCTTTTCCCCTATTCGTCTCCTTCTGGTCTTCCTCCTCCTCCTCGTTCTCATCCCTGTCCTCCTCCTCCTCGTCCCAGTCCTCCTCCTCCTCCTCCTCCTCCTCCTCCTTCTCTCCCTCCCCATCTCCTCCCCTCCTCCTCCCTCCATGCCCGTTCCCGCTTGTCCTCTTCGTGTCTGTTTCTTGTCCTTGTCTCTCTGCCGACGGCGGCTTCAAGTATACATTGTTTTACTTTGTTTGCTGTGGTCCTTGCAGGGCGTTCGAAGGTTGACGGTCGAACAGCCTCCTCATCTTCCTCCTCTCCCTCCCCGTAATCTCCCCTCATCCATTCTTCTCCTTTTCCCTACTCATCTCCTTTTGGTGTTCCTCCTCCTCCTCGTTCTCATCCCTGTCCTTCTCCTCCTCGTCCCCGTCCTCCTCCTCCTCCTCTTCCTCCTCCTCCTCCTCCTTATCTCCCTCCCCATCCTCTCCCCTCCTTCTCCCTCCATGCTCGTTCCCTGTTGTCCTCTTCATGGCTTTTTATTGCCGTTTTCTCAGTGCCGACGGCGGCTTCAATTATTACTTGTTTTACTTTGTTTACTGTGGTCCTTGCGGGGCGTTCGAAGGTTGAAGGTCGAACAACTTCTCTCCAGGACAGACAGAGAGAAAACTCAACATGTCCGTAGGCACGCTGGTTCAAGGACCTTTGCTTTAAGCTCGGTCCCAGTCAAGCCTGCTCCGCGCCATGATCCCGATCACGGGCGGCGTGGCGCAGATCGACCAGGGGGGGGGGTCTGCTCGGCTTGAGCTGCACTTCGCACGTGCTCATCCCCAAGGGCGCCCCCCCCACGCTCAAGGAAGTCCTGGACCGCACCAAGACAGGGATTGTTCTCCGCCACCACTACCAGAATGTTGTGTCTTCCAAATTTTCCAAATTTCCCAGATCTCCCCAGGGACTACCCTGGTGAAAAACCATGTGTTTTCTAGATTTTCCAAATCTTCCCAGATCTCCCCAGAGACTCCCCTGGTGAAAAAATATGTGTTTTCCAGATGTTCCAAATCTCCCCAGAGACTACCATGGTGAAAAACCTGGTGTTTTCCAGATTTTCCAAATCTTCCCAGAAACTACCTTGGTGAAAAACATTTATTTTCGAGATTTTCCAAATATTCCAAATATCCCGGGAGACTCCCCTGGTGAAAAATCGTGTGTGTTTCTAAATTTTCCGGATTCTCCAGATCTCCCCAGAGACCCCCCTGGTGCAAAACGATGTGCTTTCTACATCTTCAAATTTTTCCAAATCTCCCGAAATACAACCCTGGTGAAAAACAATTTGTTTTCAAGATTTTCCAGATATTCCAGATCTCCCCAGAGACTACACTGGTGAAAAACATTGTGTTTTCCATATTTCCCAAATGTCCCAACTCTCCCCGGGGACTCCCCTGGTGAAAAACACTATGTTTTCCAGATTTTTCAGATTTTCCATATATTTCCAGAGACTGCCCTGGGCTTGCACCGAAATTGCTGGAAAAATATGGGAAATCTGAAAATCTGGAAAAAAACATCGTTTTTCACCAGGGGAGTCTCTGGGGAGATCTGGAGAATCCGGAAAATTTGGAAAACACACATGGTTTTTCGCCAGGGGAGTCCCCGGGGAGATCTGCTGGAACATATGGAAAACACAATGCGTTACACCAGGGTAGTCTCTGGGGAGATCTGGAAATCTGGAAACACACACGGTTTTTCATCAGGGGAGTCTCTGGGGAGATCAGGGAAATCTGGAAAACACCAGGTTTTTCACCAAGGTACTCTCTGGGAAGATCTAGAACATCTGGAAAATCTGAAAACACATGGTGTTTCACCTGTGTAATCTCTGGGGAGATCTGGAATATCTGGGAAATCTGGAAAGCACAATGTTTTTCACCGGGGGGGCCTCTGCAGAGATCTGGAAAATCTGGAACATCTGGAAAACACATGGTTTTTCACCAGGGTAGTCTCTGGGGAGATCTGGAAAATCTGGAAAATCTGGAAACACAACGTTTTGCAACGGCAGAAGTCCCGAGAATGGGAAACAGAAAGACAGAAAGAGCGAGAGAGAGAGAGAGAGAGAGAGAAAGAGAGAGGAAGAGAGAGGGGGAGGAGCAGGGGGAGAAGGAGGATGAGGAGGAGGAGACGGCGGCGCGGTCATAGGAGGAGGAGGAGGAAGGAAGAGGAGGAGGATGAGGAGGAGGATGAGGAGGAAGAAGAGGCAGAGGAGGAGGATGATGTATGATCACAAGTGGGGGGGCGACCATATATATATATACACACGCATCCAATCTTACATACATACATACATACATACATACATACATACATACATACATACATACAAACATACATACATACATACATACATACATACATACATACATACATGCATGCATACATACATACATACATGTATATACACACGTATGTATATATTTTTTGATACATCTATATATATATATATATATATGTGTATGTATATATACACACATCTGTATCTCAACTATTTGTTTTGTATTGTCGTCTCCCCGTTCACTTCCCATACTTTCGATATTTTCCTGAGGGTTGACGATAATATGTGTCTTTGCCGATTCCCCCCACAAAAAAAGGGCCTCCCCAGAAGCCTCCACAGATATGAACCGATGCCTCCCGTGAAGCCCCAACTCCCAGCTGCCTCGTCAGAAGGCTGCCCGGCTCGCCCCCCCCCGGCCGTACAGGTGCGCGGTCGTGAAAGAGAGAAAGGGGGAGAGAGAGAGAGAGAGAGAGAGAGGGAGAGCGAGAGAGAGAGAGAGAAAGAGAGAGAGAGAGAGAGAGAAAACCAAAACAAAAATCCGGGCGAAGGACCCAACCATCAGCAATTGTTCGTAACGCGTTGTGGGTGCCGCTTTCGGTGGGGCTCCCTACGGGGCCACGAAATGCTGCCTTGGGCGGGGGAACCGCATGCGAACTGCGCCACTGCGGCGGGCCTTCGGTGGAGCTCCCTATGGGGCCACGAAGCGCTGCCCTGGGTGGGGGAACCGCATGCGAACTGCGCCACTGGGGCCTTCAGTGGAACCCCCTATGGGGCCACGAAACGCTGCCCTGGGTGGGGAACCGCATGCGAACTGCGCCACTGGGGCCTTCGGTGGAGCTCCCGATAGGGCCACGAAGCGCTGCCTCGGGTGGGGGAACCGTATGCGAACTGCGCCACTGGGGCCCTCGGTGGAACTCCCTATGGGGCCACAAAGCGCTGCCCTGGGTTTGGGAACCGCATGCGAATTGCGCCACTGGGGCCTTCGGTGGAACTCCCTATGGGGCCACGAAGCGCTGCCCTGGGTGGGGAACCGCATGCGAACTGCGCCACTGGGGCCTTCGGTGGAGCTCCCTATAGGGCCACGAAACGCTGCCCTGGGTGGGGGAACCGTATGCGAACTGCGCCACTGGTGCCTTCGGTGGAACTCCCAATGGGGCCACGAAGCGCTGCCCTGGGGGGGGGGGGACCGCATGCGAACTGCGCCGCTGGGGCCTTCGGTGGAGCTCCCTATGGGGCCACGAAAGCTGCCCTGGGTGGGGGAACCGCATGCGAACTGCGCCACTGGGGCCTTCGGTGGGGCCACTGGGGCCTTCGGTGGAGCTCCCTGTGGGGCCACGAAGCGCTGCCCTGGCTGGGAGAACCGCATGCGAGAGCAGCCACTGGGGCCTTCGGTGGAGTTTCCTATAGGGCCACGACACGCTGCCCTGGGTGGGGGAACCGCGTGCGCTCCCCCCCCCCGCTGGGGCCTTCGATTGAGTCCCCTATGGGGCCACGAACCGCTGCCCTGGGTAGGGGAACCGCATGCGAACACCCCCACTGGGGCATTCGGTGGAGCTCCCGATAGGGCCACAACGCTGCCCTGGGTGGGGGAACAGCATGCGAACACCCCAAACTGAGGAGCGCTGCCCTGGGTGGGGGAACAGCATGCGAACACCCCCACTGGGGCCTTCGGTGGAGCTCCCTATGGGGCCGCGAAACGCTGCCCTGGGCGGGGGAACCGCATGCGAACACTCCCAGTGGGGCCTTCGGTGGAGCCCCCTTATGGGGCCACGAAGCGCTGCCCTGGGTGGGGGAACAGCATGCGAACACCACCAGTGGGGCCTTCGGTGGAGCTCCCTATGGGGCCACGAAATGCTGCCCTGGGCGGGGGAACCGACTGCGAACACTCCCAGTGGGGCCTTCGGTAGAGCTCCTGATGGGGCCACGAAACGCTGCCCTGGGTGGGGGGACCGCATGCGAACACCCTCAGAGGGGCCTTCGGTGGAGCTCCCTATGGGGCCACGAAACGTGTGAGAGGTGTGCCGAGAGCAGAGGCAAGGAGGGGGAGGAGGGAGGAGGGATGAGAGAGGAGGGGGAGGGGGAGGAGGAAGGAAGGAAGGAAGGAGAGACGCGGGGCACCGTTTCTTCAAAACGAGTGCCCAACACCACAGGATGGTTGGGAACAAAAAAAACCTGGCGACGTACCCAACCCCTGCGCAAACGCGGAGCGCAAATAGTTTAGGACTCTTTATAAGGGGGCGATGACGGAGCGAGGGTTACATATGTCTGCAGACGTTAGCTACAATCCCTGAGCACCCCTAGACACTTCAAAAGCGGGGATCTCAGATCGCAGCCCCCCAGGGATGGTGAGGTCTAAGTTGGGTCCGCGCGTGGCGTCAGCCCCCCAGCAGGCCTCGAAAGTGGCGACAGCTTCACAGATCGCAGCCCCCCAGGGATGGCGAGGTCTAATTTGAATCTGCGTGTGGCGTCACTGTGCTGGGCCCCCCAGCAGGCCTCGAAAGTGGCGACAGTTTCACAGATCGCAGCCCCCCAGGGATGGCGAGGTCTAATTTGAATCTGCGTGTGGCGTCACTGTGCTGGGCCCCCCAGCAGGCCTCGAAAGTGGCGACAGTTTCACAGATCGCAGCCCCCCAGGGATGGCGAGGTCTAATTTGAATCTGCGTGTGGCATCACTGTGCTGGGCCCCCCAGCAGGCCTCGAAAGTAGCCCCCCAGGGATGGCGAGGTCTAATTTGAATCTGCGTGTGGCGTCACTGTGCTGGTCCTCCCAGCAGGCCTCGAAAGTGGCGACAGTTTCACAGATCGCAGCCCCCCAGGGATGGCGAGGTCTAATTTGAATCTGCGTGTGGCGTCACTGTGCTGGGCCCCCCAGCAAGCCTCGAAAGTGGCGACGGTTTCACAGATCGCAGCCCCCCTCCAGGGATGGCGAGGTCTGATTTGAATCTGCGTGTGGCGTCACTGTGCTGGGCCCCCCAGCAGGCCTCGAAAGTGGCGGCAGTTTCACAGATCGCAGCCCCCCTCCAGGGATGGCGAGGTCTAATTTGAATCTGCGTGTGGCGTCACTGTGCTGGGCCCCCCAGCAGGCCTCGAAAGTGGCGACAGGTTCACAGATCGCAACCCCCCGCAGGCAAGACAGGAGGAGGCAAGAGGGAGGCGGGAAGGAAGGAAGGAGTGGAGACCACACTGCTCTATTCAAAACGAATACCCAACCAAGGAGGGTTGGGAATAAGAAGAGTGGACGGCAGTGCACCCATGGCGCGGATCGGCGTCTGGCCAACGGATGCCATCGAGCCGACCAGCCCGCGGAGCGGGAGCCGCGGCAGGACCGAGGGGGGGTAAGTCCGCGCCCGCCCCCCTCCCATCCCTCCGCTGCCCCCAGACGCCCCTCGCTGATCTTCAGAACGTGGTGCTAGTGCCAGCGTGCGCTTTCCCACCGAGGCCCCTCAGCATGGTGCACGGAGGGACAGGGAGGGCCGACACAGGCTGCGTGCTTTTGGTGGGCCTGAGCGGGGTCAACACAAAATGGGTCAGCACCAGTCCTGAGGATCATCAGCCCCCCCTGCTGGATTGCTAGAAGTGGTCCTGGACCGAGGTGCCCCCAGCTGTTCGCGCCATAGTTGGAGCCCCCCAGGCCCTCTAGGCCTCTGGGCCTCGTGAGGGGTGGTCTGGAGGCGACCTGGGCCTCCCCAGAGAATCCTGGGGGCTCCTAGGGCTGGGAACACTGTTGTGAACTGACAAGTCAAAAAGGTACCGACACAACCACCCCACGGACCTCTCCCAGGGTGCGCTCTGGCCAGAATCTCACAGATAATCCAGCCGTGACGACGAGGGCTCTCCAGAAAGAGCAGCGGTATAGGTATCCCCGGTCCCCCAGCGTCGTGATGGATTCACACCGAGGACCCACAGAGGTCTCGACCCATTCCCTGGGACTGTTTTGTCATCATGCATAATTGTTGTACTGTCCCGGGCTGCAGCGAAGGCCCCCAGAGGTCGAAAATTCAAGCAGAGCTGGGTCGAGAAGGCGTGCAAGCGAGTCCTGGCTTGCGTGAAGTCCAGATTTCCTTCCAGGCCTGACCACGCCACCCCCCGTGCAAGTAAGCTTGCCATAATATTTGTGTTTAACAATGCCCCATAACCAGCAAAAAACACAGAAAACCTAAGTCACCGAGAATCTTTCACTCCGCGAGGGGGTCTGGGAGAACACTTTGGCAGCACCCGAGGCCCTGGCTCGAGGAACCAATGAACTGCATACACGTAATTGTTCGGAGGTCCGTGCGGATTTCCTGGACCGGCGCTGGACCACCCGTCCATCCCCCTCCTTCGCGCGCGGAGCGAGCCAAGGGCGGGGGGTGCGGCGCCAGAGGCGCCGCCGGAGGGGCCCAACGCCGATCCGAGACACCCGCGTAGAGCTCCTAGAAATTATGTGGAAGTCGATTTTATTCTTCGAGCTTAGTGGGACATCTTTGGTGACCAGCCTCATCCCTAAGATCGGCAAGCCCAGGACGATAACGATCTTAGGGGCGTGCCCTCAATTCATAAGATCGGCACCGAGAGAAGGTGATGCCAAACATAGGGATAGGGATATGTTTCAAGCTGGCAATTTGGCAGCACCCGGCCCCACGTCCTGCGGGCACCAGCCCGCCTCGCCTGCCTGTCGGCGCCGAGCTCGGCCCAGCAGCGCCCGGCCGCATAACCTGGCCGAGCCGCGCACGGCGGCCTCCGCCGGCAGGGCGCCCGCCAGGCAGCGGAGGGCCACTGACTTGCCGCTGCCGGACACGCCCAGCAGCCTCGGGCCGAGAGAGCTGAGCACGTGCAACGATCCTGGGCCCAGGCACCTTCTGGGCCCCGCGTGGGGTGCACATCAGCCTTCCTGGCCGACGATGGAGTTCGTGTGCACCGATCCTGGGCCTGGAGACGCAGGCTCTGGAAGAGGAGAGGCTCGCAGACATGGGAATGGACGACCGCAAGACGAGGCGAGCTACAGAGCGGAAAACCGTCCCTTATAATAAGCAGTCCGGCAAGCGAAGCCGTTAGGTGAGCGCGAGGAGCCGAACAGGGCCGGCCGGTTAGTAGACGCAAAGTATGGGGGTCGGGGTGGCTTGTCCTCCCTTGAGTCGTATGCGCCGTTCGTCGGCCCAGGGTGGCCTCGCCAAGATCGTTGCACGTGCGCGGCAAACTCGTGTCGTGACGACCTCTGGCGCTGGCTTCTGACACCGCGCGGATCGTTTCACGTTGGACGTTCCGCCATGCCAGTGGATTCTGAGCCACTGGCTGCGGTCAACCTTCAACGCCCGCGGCGGGGTCGATGCCGCGTCGGCATGTCAAAGCAGGGCGAGGTGAGACCACGGCAGCTCAAAATCGGTCCCCAGACTCCCATCCCGGGGTCCAGATCCACCAGTTTTCCAAGCTGCGTCCAGCCATGGCGACGAGGGGCCCCCCGAAGGCCAACTACCGGCGTATGATCTCGCCCTTCTCCGAGTATGCTGTACAATGCATCCCCAGTGTGGGCCTGGCCAGCATCAACGCACGTACACAGTTACCCTTCTTCCAGCAGCCCGAGCACGGCGCCGCGCGGCACCACCAGCGACAGCGGCCCGAGCGCAGGCTGCTCCTCGCAGGCGCGCCAGCCGCAGCACCGCGAGCCGCAGGCGCGGCCGCCGCCGCGGAGGAAGGACACGGAGAGCTCGCTAACGACCTTAGTGTCTAGTTGATCACTCGGTCGATCACCTTCCGATCGAGCGATCTAATTGCAGCCCCGATCACGATGGCTACTTCACCGATCATGGACCGATCCCGCATTCAATCTCGGACGATCGCGTGATAAACCCTAACAGATCACGTGAGCGGCAATCACGCGATTCCCCGACCAGTGCGATCTGTGATCGCCAGTCGCGTGATCAGCAGACACTGCGCTCACGACCAGTGCCGCGCTATCTGCGGCTGCGCGGCCTGGCTGCAGCTCCCGCTCGGTCGCCTGGCGGCTGCGCGCAGGAGCGGCCCTGGAGGCAAGAGTGGCCTCTGATGTCAGGCCTGCTGGCCAGTGCACGCGATGCGACAATTATTGGCGGCCTGCATGCCTGGGATTGGCACCCCCCCAAAGAATGGGCATTGCTTAATGGGGGGGCGATAAACAGGGGGGCAAAGACACGTTCACCTTTCGTGCCCCTGTTGGGCCCCACAGAGCCCTTCGGGCTCCCAAAGTGCACGAAAACGTCTACCTTCCTTGATCCCCCCCATTCATCCCCCCCCCCCGCCCTCATTTACGCAACGCCCCTGAGAGGCCGCGCAGCAGAGGCCACTCTGGCGAAAGGACCACTCTTGCGTGCGGCCGAAGCCTGGCGCTCCTCGAGCACCTCCGGCGGAGCACGCGGATCCTCCGTCAGGAACACCGGGCCGCCCGCTCCTAGACCAGCGCGCTCCACTACTCGCAGAGTAACTACTCACAAATGGCGTGGATCCGCTGCGGTGTATGCGGGACGCTTGCGACTAGGCACTGCGCGAGCAGAGGAACGCGCTCGGTGAGCTCCTGGCGTCCTGCCGCCCGCGGCGGCGACCGCAGCCGCCGTGCGGGTCGGGAACTTTGGGCCGCCGCCCCATGACCTGACAGAGGCCTCCCAGATGGGGTCCGAGCAGCTGGGGTCGGAGGATCGCGCTGCCTCGCCAGCGCATCGCCGATGCATCGGCGAATCATCGGCGGCGTCGGCGACGCATCGACGCCGTCGGCGTGGAGAAGATGGGGCTCCACGTCGAGCCGCACCGCGGATGCATCGGCCACCGCCGATGCATCGGCGATGAGCTGCAATCCTTCGACCCTGTCTACTCAGACCCCATTTGAGCGACGAGAAGAATCGGGCGTTACGCGAGATGGCACAACGACCTTGCGCGGTGGCTTACGCGGATCGCCAGCGCGGCACGCCACTCCGGAAGCGAGCGCGCTTACGCGCGACCTCAAGCGAGCAGCTTACGCGCGAATGTCGGCGCAGTCGAGCCCGTTTGCTCGCGTCGCACATCTGGGAGGCCCCGGCCTGAGCACAGCCACGGAGCCGAAGGCCACGATGTTGGCGGCGAGCGCAGCCAGGGCCTCGCCGGTCACCCGCCAGTCCAGAGGGTCCAGGCCGTGGACGGAGCTGAAGCCCGGCAGCGCGGTGCCTGCGGGGGCCCACAACACGGCAGCTCAGCTGCCCAAATACTAAAACAAAACCAGGGCGAGGATAACATCGGGTGAGGATAAATCAATTCTCTCTGATACTCCGCGGCTGTGGATGATGTATCGGGCGCCGCGGCTCTGGAACGGATTTATCTTCGTCCTAACCCTACCCAAACAACACATAATCATAGCTGCCCCGATACGCAACCCGCAGCGTGTTCACGCGGAGCTCAGCACGTAGACTGAAGACGTGGGTCTGGCGCGATATACGCTCGCCGATCAAGTGGGCCAATACGTGAAGCCAACACGAAACTTGTTTGACCCAGACGTTTTGAACACGGTACGTGTTGCGTTTCGACACGGTCGTTTCAGGGCAGCTAGCACAGAATTGAGCGAGGCCCTGTGGAGCCGAGGCTCCAGAGTGGCCTGGGGGCTGGGGGAACCCTGGGCCAGGGGCACGACTGTCAACACCCGGGCGCCGGGGATGGTGAGGATGGCGTTCGCCAGGTTGAAGGCGGGGGAGAGGCGCCCAAGCAGCTCCACTGCCCGCCCCAGCCTGTTGGCGGTGGATCCCAGGAAGGGGATGCAAAGGATCCAGCAAATGACGCCCATGATGAAGCCAGCGCCCACGTTCAGCGCGAGTGCCGCATTCTGCGCCGCGCTGGGAGTCCTGAAGCTGGGGACCAGGGCGTATGCCTGCAAAACAGAAGCCACCGAGTATAGCGCAAGCAGCACCGCCACGACGTTCAGGCAGTCGACGAACACCGCCAGCTCAAACGCCTTGATGAAAAAGAGCTGCGTGAGCAGTGGGGGAAGCACAAGCAAGGTGTCGGCGACGCACCCCGCAGCGACAAAGACAGAGGCGGGGGCACCCGCAACCTGCTGCTGCCGCACAATCCCACCGCAGACGTCACGCGAGGCGTCCGCCGCAACGCTGGCGGGCAGGAAAGCGGCACCGATGAGCGACATGGTGAAAAACGTGAAGCCCTGGGAGGAGAACGCCTTCAGAGGAAAAATAACACGCCATGAACAGAAACTTTCGACGGCCCGCTCGGATTTCCCAAATCTACGCTGAAACCCGCTCCCTGGCGCTAGGAGCGCGTCAGGGGCGGCGCCGAAGGCGCCGCCAGGGGGGGCCCTGCGACGATCCAAGATATCCGCGCGGAGCTCCGAAAGTTATGTTCATCCCCCCATCTTTCGAGCCTTCTCGCGCTGCCACTTCGTCAGCGGCAGCGGCCTGTGGAAGCCAAAAGGTACCAATACCGCTTCTCCCTGGACCTCTCCCAGGGTGCGGTCTGACCCAAACTTCGGGGCGAGTCCAGCAGAGGCAACGAAGGCCTCCCAGGAGGCACGAAAAGCCCAAGACGAGAGAAATGTAGCGGCATTGGTACAGCCGGACCTAGGGCATAATAACATCCGTCAAGAACATGAGACCCTCCGCAGAACATCCTAGGGTACCCTCCCCAGGATGCACAAGAACAACCAACAAGCACGAGGAACATCAGGGCACCCTCCCCGAAACGACCTCGATCACATACCTCGGTCCGACCATATCATTTCCTCCCCTGACGGCCAGTTCACGACGCGCACCCCGCGGGCGGCTTCCCTCGCCGCCACGGCGGAGCGGGCGCCCGACGCGACGATGGCCCGCTGCAGCTGGCCAAGGAAGAGCGGGGCGCTGTGCGGGGCGGAGCCGTTGTAGAAGACCGCGAGGCGGGCGCGACGCAGCGCCGGCCGCGTCGCCTCAATGAAGAAGGCGCCGTACCGCGAGGCCGCCTGCCGCGCAACGACCTCCTCCCCTCCTCCTTATTCCTTCCTCCTCCTGCTGCTCCTCCTCCTCATCATCATCATCACCACCGCAATCATCATTACCACCATCATAACCATCATCACACCCATCAGCATCAGAATAATCATCCGTACCGTCATCATCATCATCATCATCATCATCATCATCATCATCATCATCATCATCATCATCATCATCATCAGCATCATCATCATCATCATCATCATCATCATCATCATCATCATCATCATTATCATCATCATCATCATCATCATCGTCATTAGCATCATCATCATCATCATCACCATCATCATCATCAACATCATCAGCATCATAATCATCATCATCATCAGCATCATCATCATCATCATCATCATCATCATCAGCATCATCAGCATCATCGATTTCACCATCACCATCATCATCATCATCATCAGCATCATCATCATCATTAGCAGCAGCAGCCGCAGCAGCAGCAGAAACAGCAGCAGCAGCAGCAACTGCAGTAGCAGCAGCAGTGGTAGCAGCTGAGACAGCAGCCGCAGCAGCAGTCTCATCATCATCATCAGCAGCAGCAGCAGCATTAGCATCAGCATAATATGATCATCATCATCACCACCATCATCATCATCATCATCATCATCATCATCATCATCATCATCATCATCATCGTCGTCATCGGTATCGCTATGAACACCATCATCGCCACCACCATTACCATTATAAAACAAAATATCATCACCATCACCATCACCCAGATCATCAACCTCAGCATCAGCAGCATCATCATCAGCAGCAGCATCAGCATCAACATCATCATCACCACTTCATCATCATCATCATCATCATCATCATCATCATCATCATCATCATCATCATCATCATCATCATCATCATCCGCCGCCTCTTCTCTTAGAGGCCTCCCCGATGGGGTCCGAATAGATGGGGTCGAAAGATGGTGCCGCATCGGCGATGCATCGGCGATGCATCCGCGACGCCGGCTCCATCGGCACCGTCTGCGAGCAGAAAATCGGGCTCCACATTGAGCCGCACCGCCGATGCATCGGCGCTGCGGCGCGATCCTTCGACCAATATACTCGGATCCCATATGGGAGTCCTAGAGACACCCGCCGACAAGTTTTCGCTGTGCCTTCAGGGAGGGGGGCAGCGCATAAAATTCTGGTCTCCAGTGACAAGTTATACACCGCCACCCTCCTCTGAGGCTCAGGAGCAGTCCCCTGGGGGCGTCAGTGTACATATTTTTGAAGCGGGCCTGCTTATCTGAGGAGTTGAGAAGAGCCAGCGCGAACGCCTGCCAGCGCGCGCACCGCTCAAGCTGCCCCCTGAACTCTGGGGGCACGGAGTCCGCGGAAATGGTGGCGATCAGAGTCTTGACGTCCTCTGGCGAGACCCCCGACTGCTCGAGGAATGCGCGTTGGGCGAAGGGTGGCGCGCCGCCCGACTGCATATCCTGGGGGAACCAAGAGATGCCCATGCCGCTACTCCCCAGATCTCCCTGGAGGTGCATTCTGACTAGAAGGACGAGGCGAATCCAGCCGTGGCGACGAGTCCATGCGATGAGGCTCTTCTTCCTCCGGTATCCGAAGGAACAGAAATACAAAAGGGTTGCATGAGTGCCATTGGAACCAATCGAGGTACTGACCTTACTAGTCAGCCTTGGAACTGCAGGCTCAGAGCCATGATGAGTCAGGTAAGTCAGGTCAGTACTCAGGCCTCCCGTGCATACCTGAAGGGACTCGGGCTACGAGACACCTTTATATCCCGAAGTCCTGGAACTTCTTCCGCGTCTCCTCTCGGCGGCGAGCCCGGCGGGAAAAGGATAAGGGGCGGAGCTTCTGAGAAGGCTCGGAAGTCCTCCGGCCTTCTGAAAAGTTTTGTACGCCTTCCCCGAGGACACAGGAAACTTCTAAGAAGGCCCGATGCCTTCTGAGAAGCCCCGCTGCCTTCTGAGAAGGCCTTCTCCTTCTCACCTCTCCCTCTCGCTCGCCGCCGATCCTCGCCCAGCTTCTCCGTGGCCAGCTCCGCCAGCGCTGCTCGGCCTGGGCCGCCGCTGGCGCAGGCGGCGAGCTCCTCCCTCTGCAGCTTGGCCCGGGCGACGTCGGCCCTCAGGGGCGCCTGCCCGAACTTGAACTCCAGGGTGGCCTCCTGCCGGGCCGAGTCCACCGAGATCTGCGCCCTGTCCTGCAGCCCGACGGCCACACGCACGCTGCCGTTGTCGCCCTGCGCGGTGCCGGGGACGGGGCTGAGGCCAGGGTCGGCGAAGAACTGCTGCACGGCACCGCTCGGGACGCCATCCTTCTCCATCACCTTCCGGATCACGAACTCCGGGGCGCCCTTCTCGCGCATCTCCCTGTACTTACTCAGATCGACGACGCCATCCACGCCGCCCTGGCCGCCGCTCTCGGACAGGACCTCGATCTGCACGGCCTCCCGCCATCGCCTGGGCGTCACAGCACGCCAGAGGGATTTGTTCGTGGGCAAATCCGCACGCTTGCCGCGGGGCACGAACGGGAGTGTCCGCAGGTCCCTTCGAACTCTCTGCAAGGGCACCGTGTGTCGTGCGGCCCCGTCAGGGGCCCAGGACACGCAGTGCGGAAAGCAACTTTCCAACATGCCCTCAGATGGTCCCACGGTGCCGTCCTGAAGCTCTCTCGGGGGCTTCGAGGACCATCTTCGAAGCCCTGGGAGCCGCCCCAAGAGGCCAAGGTCAAAACCCACCCAGTGCCTGTATGAGTTCGGAGCATTCAGCAGCTCAGTCTTAGGAGAGTCCAAGACAGCCCAAGAGCCCCTAGTACTGCCTCGAGAGGGCCAGCGAAAACATAGAGGACCCCAAGAGGGGCAACTAAGGCCTCAAGGACGGGCCCAAGAGGGTCGAAAAAGTGCGGCAGCGCCGCGCCGACGCGCCGAAGAGGCCACTGGGAGGTCGCCAAGAGTCTTCCGAGAGCCCCCCCAAGAGGCCCCAAAGAGACCCCCCAACGTGCCTCCCAAAGCGACCCAAGCGCCCACGAGGCCCATCTGGAGCGTCTTGTCCTTGCCCTAGGCACGGTAGCGGGCTGGGCCGAAGGCCGCCAGATAATCCAGCTTGTTCCACACGCCCATGCGCATCCCTCCTTGCAGCAGCTGGTACGGGCGCGCGCTCTGCCAGGAACTCCCTATTGCGCCGAAGGGCAGGACAGCTCGAGGCTCCGCGCCGCCCAACTTGGGGTTGAGGTCGGCCGCCGTTCCCAGCAGCTCAAGCGGCGGCGAGTCGAGCTCGAAGCTGGACCAGATGGACGCCAGCCCGATCGCGTTGAACGCCAGCGGCAGCAGACACATGCACAGCAAGGACCGCTTGTTGCGCTGCACGGACAGCCACCTCCGCTGCAGCAGCGCGCCCGCCTGGCGCACCGCCAGCCCCCGCGCCGCCTCCGACGGCCGCGCGAGCTCCGCGACCAGCGCGGACATGCTGGCGGCGGTGCCCATCGCCATCGGGGCTGGTGCGCCTCGCGCCACCGCGGCCGTGCCCGCGGGCGCCGGGGGAGAGGACTGCGGCGGCGCAGGGGCAGCGCCAGCCTCGCCGTCGGCGAGGCGGACGAAGAGCTCCTCGAGCGTCGTTGCGCTGACCGTCAGAGACGCGAAGCCGAGCCCGTGCTTCTGCTCGTCCAGATACCTGGAGGAATGAGAGCTCTGCACATGCCCGATCCTGGCCAGGCCCATCCTGGAGTCTGGGCTGGTGCACACGCCATCCTAGCTTGGCCAGGGAGGCATCTACGCCGATCCTGGGCTCAGGATGGCCCTGGCCAGGATCGGTGTTTAGAAAGCAACTCACGGACGCTTCTGGCCGTCCCCATAGCGCCCAATAGCGCGCCCAATCGCCGTGGGGCGCCATTTGAGCGCTATTTGGCGCTATTGGGCGCAACTGGCGCTATTTGCCTCTATTGGGCGCCAGTTGCCGATATACATTCAATCCAAGACGAGCGGAAGCTTCCGCGATTCGCTCCCTAACAATGCATGTGCACAGTTCTCCTCTCAGCATGGTGGTAGCAGGTCCTGAGGGAAACAGGTCCTGGACCCTGTGGCCTTCCCCCAGGACGAGCTCGTCGTGCTCAGTCGTTTTCTGCCGGTCGCGGGGCCCGTGGAGGGCCCCGCGAGAGCCCGAGAACGGCGAAAAACCTCTGGACCCAGTTCCCTCGGGGCCCGTGTCCTCCATGGCGAGGGCCGTGCACGTGCACAGCTCTCCTCGCCCGATCACCGCAGCAGGGCCGGCAGCTCCTGGGCCGCCTGGAACGGCAGCCTCAGCACCGCCTCCGCGGCCGTGCAGCCGGCCACGCGCAGCCCGCCGCGCGCGGCCTCCCTGCGCAGCGCCTCGGTCGGCAGCCGCTCCAGGAGCTGCTCCAGGGCGAGCCGCGTGCTCGACTCTGAGGGCGTCCTCAGAGGAGCCAACGCCGGACGTGGGCAGGAAAAGCAGAGCAGCTCGGAGGTCCGCGCCGATTCCTCGGGTCGGCGCCCGGGCTCCCGTGGCGGAGCCTCCAGCGCCGATCCGAGGAATGCGCGCGGACCTCCGGGGAGTTTTTGTGCTCACGCCATGGCCCGAGTCCTGCCGTTGCCGCTGGAGCTGGCGCGGCTGAGGCTGAGCGTGTAGCCGCTGCCGAGGCGCACCTTCAGCCAGTCGGGGGAGCCGTAGCACTGCATTGCGCCCGCGGACATGATGCACACCTCAACGACGAAAAGAAGCGGTCGCTCTTACGCGAGATGACAGAGCGGCCTTACACCGCGGCTTACGCGGGCCGCCAGCGTGGCACGCTACATTGGAGAGGAGGGTGCTTACAAGCGACCTTGCGCGGGAGACTTATGCGTAAATGTCGGCGCAGTCGAACCCGTTTTTTTGTGTCGCTCACCTGGTCCCCGAGCATCTCCGCCTCCTCCATGTAGTGCGTGCTGAGGCAGATGGCGCGGCGAGGCCGGGAGCGCTTCAGCACGTCCCACATCGAGCGCCGCACGAAGGGGTCCATGCCGCTGGTGGGCTCGTCCAGCACGAGGAAGCGTGGATCGCCTACGAACGCCAGAGCGACGTTAAGGGCGCGCCGCCTTCCAGAAGACAACGCGCCCGCGGGAACAGCGGTGCCCAGGGCGCCGCTGAGCCCGACGTCGTGCAGCAGGCCCTCGCAGGTGACCGCGGATCCCTTGCCCGCACCCTTCAGGGCCCACGCCAGCTCCAGGTGCTCCGCGGCGGTGAGGTCCTCGAAGAGGATATCGTACTGCGGGCACACGCCCAGGTGCCTTCGTGCCTCCGCTGGCTGCAATGCGACGTCGCAGCCGTACACTGTGACCCTGCCGCGTGTGGGGCGCAGAACGCCTGTCAGCATGCCCACCGTGGTGGACTTGCCAGCGCCATTGTGGCCCAGCAGCGCAAGGATCTCGCCCTCGGCCATGCCTAAGTCCAAGCTTCGCACAGCAACGATCGTGTGCGACCTGCGCCGGCCCTCCACCACGAACTCCTTGCGGACGTCACTGACTTCGACCATGCAGTCCACCGTCATCGAGTCCTCGACGACGCTGGCGGCACCCGACGACACGCGCTGCCGCTTCACGGCCCCCGCCAGAGCCCCCGCGCGGCCTGACGGGATCGCCGCCGCAAGCTCCCAAGGCCGGTACCAAGGGCACGGGGCCGTCCCGTACTGGCGTGGGACAACGCGCTCTAGATAAATCCAAATGGCCAGGTACGATGGTACGCTTACAATCTGAAGCGCCAGCAAGAAGCCCATGGAGCAGCTGAAGCCGAGCTCATCCCAAATGTTCGAACGCTGCAATCCAATGTCTTGCAGCTCGAATTCAACGATCCGGTTGAGACCCTGCGTCAGCGCGACAGGCGGCAACAGACACGCCCAGGCCGACTGCACCGGGAACCTGCTGAGGAGGAAGGACCCCACGACCACGGACAGTGACGCAGTCTTGGCGATGCCGAACAAGGCCGAGGCAGCAAGCGCCATCGTCGCCATGGCCAGCCCAGCCGCCGAGAAGAACGTGACCAGCAGGACCAGCGAGGATCGTGTGAAGACGCACAGCGACAGCGACACCCCAAACTCCGCGCCATATATGGCAAACATAGGCATCACTTCGGCAACGTGCGCTATAAAGCGCACGTGGTCCTCCAGTCCCATCAGCTTCATCGCCTCCAGCAGCTTCATCTCGCGCTCGGCCACGACACGTCCCGCTGCTTGCCCCGCCGCGTAGGCAAAGAACAGCACGCTCGCCAGAGCGATCACCTCACGCGCGGCGGACAGCGCGTTCCGGCTCTTGTACGATGGCGTGGGGAAGGGTACCGCGGTCAGGTCGAGGCGCCAGGGGCCCTCCGTGGATATCCCCTGCCGCTCCAGCAGGAACTCGTCGGCCAGCTTCTGCAGCGCCAGGAATCCGCTGCACGCGTACCAATCTTTCGACGTGAGCTTGGCGTCAATGGCGCGGCCAGTCGTGGTCCTCCGCGTGTCCACTCCGCCGCACGGGGCGTTCCTGTTGCCGCCGATGGTGCCGTTGAGACGCAGCGTGTACTGGCCACCGAGCTCGTCGTCGAAGCTGATGGCCCCGCACAGGGCTGGCCGGGCCTTGCTGCCGTAGTCGTCCAGGGCCACGTAGCCGTCGACCTCCTCCCTGCTCGGGAAGGGCACAAGCCTCGGCCAACCAAACGGCCACACCCCGAGCAGCGCGAAGCGCCCTCGGAGGAAGGCCCGGAACTCGCGCCCGAGACGGCCCTCCGGGGCCACCGCGAAGATGGCGCCGCCCCTGCAGAGCCTCGCGGCGTACCTGGTGGCGAAGGGGTCGCCGAGCTCCACGGCGCGCTCCACGCTGGTCTTGACGGGCACGACCTCGTCGCCGCCGAGCACCCTGCAGGGTGGCCCACATGGCAAGGCTTCGGGCTGCGCGCAGATAGCCTCCCCGGGTAGTCCTGGCTGGCCTCAACAAGCCCCCCGAGCAGTCCGGGGCAGTCTCATCGCCTCAACCCTGGGACGCTCCGCGCCCAAGGAGCGCCGGCGGCGGCGGCGGCGCTTGGGTGTTCAGACGGGCCGGGACTACCTGGACAGGCTGTCTGTGGGCAATCCGGAGCCATACTTGCCAGGCGCAAAAAGAGCTTCGTCAAAAATCCGCTCGGGCACGATCCCTGGGCCCCGCCCATAGGAACCCATCCTAGCACGTGCTTCGAGCTGCGCCCGGCATCGGCCGCGAGGGCGGCGCCCACCGTGGCAGGCCCGAGAGCGGCAGAAGCGTAAGAGTGAGGGGCATCGATAGTGGGGGATAGGGACAGGAGGGGAAACATCGACCTGGAATCGGCGATACATCGCCGATAGATCTGCGATAGGCCCCCGACAGTGAATCCACACGTGTCTTGGCAGGATGGGGCTATCGGGCCCCTGTCGGCGATCAATGTGCGATTGGGGGTCGATGCATCCCCCTATGCCTATGCCCCCCTATCGTTGCTCCCGAAAGAGGATCGCGGAGTACCTCACTCCAGCGAGCGGAAGCGCCAGCACCACAGGCAGCAGCAGCTCCGCCAGCGAGGACACCCAGCGCCGCCGGCGCGACAGCAGCCCTTTCCTCGGGGAGCGAAGACAGGAACAGGACCAATGGCACACTGCCGTGAGGAACCCATCAACGTGCTACGATCAACCCTCTTAGCAAGGATGGGCAATTTTCCAAGGGTGCCCTTGAATCCTTTCCCTTCAACACATTATTTCCCGCTTTCGCTGGCCGCGCCACGCTCGCAAAATGTCGGCATGGCCTTCCAAGGCCCTTGCATCCTTATCGCGCGTCCTTCTTATACGGGTTGATTGTACTGCTGAACAAACAACAGGCCGTCGGACAAGAACGAAATGACGACACGCGGACGGGATAATTACCAACGGCACCGTGTCATGGATACTCTTCCTGGGGAAACCGAAAGGTAGTTACCGATACCGCTACTCCCCGGGACTCTCCCGGGGTGGGTCCTGAGTCCTGATTTGAATTCCGACACGGATCCAGCTGTGGCGGCGAGGGCCTCCCAGGAGGCCCAAAAAGGAAGACACAAGGCAAGGGTAGCGACATCGGTAGCTGTCCCTCCTTTGAAGTGCCAAGCCCAACCTCGACCCTCGAAGCCTCGAAACCATGGCTTATTCACACCGCGTTGCCAGCCACCACGCCGCGCAGCCTCGAGACTCGATCATCGAGCCTCGAGCCCCGAGCCCCGAGCCTCGATCCTCGACGCCTCGAATCCTCGGCCTCCTCTTAGTTCCTCCCTCCCAGCTTCCGCAGCAGCGCGCCGAGCTGCCGCCTCCTGGCCGTCCCGCCCATGCCGCCCCCGCGCAGCGCCATCCCGGCCCGCGCGGCCAGGCGGGCTGGTGGCCTCCAGCCAGGTCGGCGCGCGCGCGCCCTGACAGCGCGGGCAATGCTCCCGGCCAGACAACCTGCGAGCCGCTGGAGCGGACCAGGCGACGCGTGCAGCTGTAGCCACAGGCTGGGGGAAGGATCGCCCAAACACGCTCGCGGCGTACGCAAAAATTGGTTGTGTTCGGCCTCTGGGGGCCCTCGCCGGCCTTGCGCGCGTCAAGCAACTACCCAGGCCCCGGGGAATGGGTCGAGACCTCCGGGTCCACCCTGCGAACAAAAAAAGAGAATCACACAAAAAACACGACGCCCCGGGTCTGGGCAAGAAGAGCGCATCGCAAGGGGTTGCGGGATGATTGCGTACGCCCTTGGGGAGTGGACAAAATCCCTTTTCGCAAAACATTTTGTAATGAAAACGGCCCCAAGTGGCGGGCCGCCGCCCGCTGGGATATTCTCAGGTTTTCTGCAACCGAAAACTCAAGAGCTCGGCGAACCGAAATGTTATGTCTGAGCGGGCGAGAGCAGGCAGCGGCAACAGGCAGGCTTAAAGAGGGATGACTGCTGGTGCAATTCAACACTCGTCCTCGATCATCTGGTTAAGAAAAGATCGGTCGGTCGTCCAAGCCGACGTCCGACAACCAATCAACACGGAGTGGCGCGGAAGCGCGGCGGAAGGTGGGCGGAAGCCTTTTGAATTATGAGAATGATTCACTGTGCTGTGCGGTGTGCTCCACCCTAGCGGTGGTTCTGCTCCGGGCGTCGCGGGCTCGACGCTCATGTGCATGCCTGCGGCGTGCCATCCTGACTGCCTCCTTCGCGGAGACCTTCGCATTCACGTAGCCGTCCATCATCGCTCTCGTCAAGTAGCCTCGGTCAGCTTCCATATTCTTCAACGCCTGTGCTAGCTGCACCGGCGCGTCGCGCCACTCCAGGTCAACTCCGTCCTGTGATAGCATCGCCCGCAAAACTGCGATAACGACTCGAACTCGACGATCTGCGATCTGGCCAGCGTCCGCAAGCAAGTGGGGTACTAGGAAGTTGACATTGTCGAATCACTTAGCCAGCATCAGAGTCGTCACCTCGTCCAACGGATCACCCAGTGGCTGCTCTAGCTTCTACATCTCGTAATAGACCGCCCTGGTCCACTCCAGTGCTTCAGCTCCTTCCGTCAGTCCGTGAGCCTCTGCTCCCATCGAGGCGCTGCGTACTCTCTTGGCCCCCGGGCTGCCCTGTCGAGGAAGCGCACTGGTCCTTCTTGTCGTTTGTAGAAGCCATCGTCTGTGAGCAGGCGCACGCGGCCGAACTGGCACATCACATTCTCGCCGGGCGGGCCCGGGTCGTGGTCGTCAACGTTCTTGAGGCTGCTGCCTGCGAAGATGACAACGCGCAGTCTCCGTCTCCATCCCGTTGTAAAGTGTCGCTCCGGAAGCCCAGGCGCACTTCCCGTGTTTCCAGGCAGTGGCGAACCAGCTTGTTCAATAGGTTCTACGCGGTCGCCTGCTTCTTCTGCTGCGCAAGCCAACTGTGGCCGAAGGAGACGCCCATCCGAAATTACCGCGGGAGCCACCCGACTGAGCCGATCGCCGACTCTGCGAAACTCCACTCCTCATCCGTAGCCGACGCCTCGATCTGCATCGCCGGGCCGATAGTCTCCATCTGGTCAATGAAGAACGGCATGCTAAGCTTGATCGCGTAGTCCACGGGCTGCTCCACGTCCTTGCCGCGGCGCCTGAAGGGCGGCTTCTCCGCGAAAGTCGCTGCGTCCTCTGGAGCTCGCCCATCGCACTCTTGCGCAGGTTGCCGTCGGGGTCGCCTGCCGCGAACAAGTCGCGCAGTGCCGACGAGCCCGCCGAGCTATTCATTCTCGAACAAGGGGAAGAACGCCCTCTCCAAGCGGCTTTCCTGCCACAAATTGCAGCGCGGCGTCCTCCGGAGCTTGCTCAGCCACTTCCTGCCCGCGCCATTGGCGCCGCAGATAATACCGTAACAGGCGAACTTCGCTCTGGGCGGAACTCCAGGTGGAAGAGGCGAGGGAGGTCGCAGCGCGAGCATTCGGTCAACGTCATCTCCTTGAAGGTACCGTCCTCGCGTGGACCGACTCGTAGCAGCCGACCGCGACCAGCCGACTGTCGGGACTTCGCCTGCAGGAGTTTCTCGGGGTCCTTGATTATGTCCAACAGCTCCATGGCCGCGTCGCCCGCGACTACGGCCACCGCCCTGAAGTTGCGCCAGTTCCCTCACCCCTTAGCCATGCTTGCGTCGAAGAGGAGCTTCTCCGCCATGGCGTGGTCCGTCAGCTTCACCCCTTCGCTCTAGACCTACCGGTCAGCCAGGCGTGCTTGATCCTGGCGTGGAAGGCTGCGTCCGAGTCGTGATCCGCCAGGTGGGCTCCAGACATGGGTTCGGGCTGTCCATCATCATCGCGAACAATATCACCAGCTCTTCGCCAAGTACCATGCACGGGGACCTAGGGGTGAGATTCTCGCCCCGCCGTGGCGCGGCCGTCTCCGTGCCGCGGCCCCCTCCGGCAGAGCCCGCAGGTTCGGGTCTCGGCCGGGGCTCCTCGACCGTCTCTGGCGCCGGGGCGTGGCCGCACGACGGGCGGGGGGCGGCTCTTGCAGCAGCGGCTGCACTTGGCGCCGCCGATGCTATGCCTGGTAGCGGTTATTCCTCAGGGAACTCTGTGGCCCCTTTCTCTAAGTCGCGTCGGACGTCAAGAATCCGAAGTCCTAGCGGTATGTTTGCACCTCGCCGATCCGCTGGCATCTTGCCCCGGGTGATCAGCTCGTCTTCCGTCGCAAACCTCAGCTGCTCGGGTCTCACCAAGACCGCGCCGCCACCGTGCCGTAGCCAAACCGCGCGAGGACTGCCTTGAACATGAACGGCAGCTGGGCGCAACGCAGCGTCGATCCCGTCGGCCACTTTGTCGGGATCGCGACAAACGCGGCTGGTCACGCGTGCGATGCCGAACCAGCGGTGGAACAGCGCCGGGGATCTCGCTGGGCTTCGCGCGCGCCCGCTAGGAAGAGCCCTCTCGTCGGCGTCGACCCGGCTGGCTTCGCTCTCCCCGCTCGGTTTTTGGCCATCCGTCTTCACGAAAGCAACCGTAGCAACATCGCGCCACAGTGAAGTTGGAAAGCCATGACATACTCCGGGTCCAGTGCTGCCTCTTGCAAGTTCAGCCTCTACGCCTCGTTGTCCTGCAGGACCGACCTGGGGGCGCGAGGGCCGCGCGTCCAGAGCGCCCAGTTAGACGGTGCATAGCAATCGTAGATCACCGTCCCGTTGCAGACCTGGTTGATGATCCCGCAGAGGGCGCGCAGGCCCTGCTCCTTCGTGATCTGATCGCCCGGCACTACTCGATGCCATACTTCCTCGCGTACTCCACCTAGTCGCTCGATCCTGCCAAGCAGCGCGACCATGGCCGAGGAAGCACGGGTGTCCTCGCGCAGGTGGCAGACCGCATGGAGCCGGGCCCCGTCGCACTCGATGTTGAAGAACGCGCGCGCGCCGCCCTCGGAGTCGCGGGCGAACAGGGTGCCGAGCATCGGGTTCAAGCTGATCTGGTAGCGCCCTGGAATCCGCGCCGGGCGCGCGCGCTACGTCCTGATCATGCCGCCGCAGGCGTCGCACCTCGAAATTTCCCACGCAGTCTCCAAGAACTACTTCTTCGCGCTCGATCTCCTCAGGCACCTCGCCAGCGTCGCGTTGGCGGGGTGGCCGAAGTTCACGCGTTGGTTGCATCGCGCCTGGCCGCCGGGTCGACGGCGAGCCATCGCGCGCGCCTCTCCTTCTCCCCGGGGGAGAGCGCGGGCTCGAGGCGCGCCGCCGCCTCGGCCCTGACGTTAGCGCGATGCACCGCCGGCCCGCCCGCATCTGGAACTCCATCTGGTCGAGGCTGGCCGCCCTCAGGAGTTGGACGTTGCGCCGCCTTCTGTCTACCGAAGTCGTCGTCCCTTGAGCTCGGGCGGCAGCTTCGCAGGGGAGCTGCCCGCCACGCCGAGCCCCTCGATGATGTGCTCGTCGATGCCCAGGTCGATCTGCTGATCGATCGCGCGGAGGATGAGCCGGTCGAGCTAATCGGGCCACTTCGCCGCCACCCTGTCTCCTTCTCATGCTCGAGCGGCGCGCGGGCGCGGCTGCGATCGCACTTCGCGTCGCGCAGCGCCACCTGGACAGCGACCGACCCAGCGAGAGACCCCGTCGGCATGTTGCGCGGCTCACCCGTTCTCTCGCCCGCGCATCCGAGCTGGCAGGCGTGGGCGCGCGCTCGAGCAGCACGCCCCTCTCCGCGAGCTCCCCGGCCCGCTGCGTCTCTGGCTCGTCGCGCGCGCTCGATCCCAGGGGCTGCCCCGACAGGGCGCGCCTGCCTCGGCTCGCGCGGTCCACCGCCAGCTGGTCTGACGAGGCCAGCAGAGCCCTCGTCACCTCCTGAGCCTCGTAGACAATCGCCGCCGCAGCACCGCCCTTCGCGAGGTTGCATCGCCCCCAATCTTCCCAGGGTCCGCAGGGCATCGGGATAACCACCATGTAGGGGCCCTCCTCCAGTAGCCGGCGACGGGCGAGCTGCCCTTCCATCCCGCACCAGCCATCCGAGATGTCCAGGGGCTGGCAGCAGTCGTAGCCGCAGGCGGCCGTCGCGAGCAGGGCGGGCCCGAACTGGCCAGAGAAGATCTGCTCGAGCAGCGTCTAGCCCCTGGGTGATGTCCCGCGCCTCGCGACCGCCCCGGCCATCGCACCCGTGGCCCTCGTCTCCGCGGTCCTCAGGTCGTCGTGCGTGGCCTGGACCTTCGTCGCGCGCCTTGGGCTCACCATCCTCGTGGCCCCGTCGCCGCCCCAGTCGATCTTCTCGGGGCCCTCGAAGACCTCTCGATCGGCGCATCCCAGGGCTGCTCCTGCACGTGCGCGGCCAGCGCCTCCGATGAATCGACGCAGTTCGCGTCGACGAAGTTCCCGCCGCGCCCGCCCCGGGGTCGAAGCCCATGGAACTCTAGGCCGAGGGCGCCGGAGCACGGGGGGCCCTGCAGGTTGACGCCGAGGCGGTCGCGCGCCGCGCCGATCAGTGCGCGGCCGTGCAGTCGAGCTCGGCGGGGTACGCCACCCCCCTATCCACGTCGATCATGGCGCTGAGCGTCTCCTGCGAGCCTCGACCGATCAGCGACGGGGCGTCCTGGGCGAGCTCGACCGACTCGAGCGCGGACTGCTGCCCGCCGGTGCCAGCGGGCACATTGCGCACCGTGTCCGACTTGGTCCCTCGGCTAACCCCCCGAAAATCAACGCCCTTAAGCCTTGGGCTTGGGGTCGGTCTTCTTCAGATGCTTCTCGCGCGTGGCTTCTTCGCGATCTTTCTCCCAGGACCCGGGGCCTGCCCCGCATCGCGGCCTGGCGCGCCGCGCCCAGAACCGCGGCTTCCGGCGCCCCCCCCCCCCCCCCGCGCCGCAAGCCTCGGCGTCCGTGGCGGGTCCGACCATCGGAACCCTGAGGCCGCCGCCGAGGGCGTCGAACGGTTCGCCGGTCTGCCCCTGCGTCTCCGAAGGGGCGCCCGCGCTTCACTTGCCAAGGGCAATGGGCCAAATCAAATGCAGCGCGAGCCGGCGCTGGCCCAGCGCGGGCTCGCCGCCCGGCGCCGCGGGCGGCCGCGAACTGCATCTCGGCGAACTCCGCGGACGCGAATCCAGAATACTTGCCCGCCTTGATCTCCTCGACGCCCGTCGGAGGGCCCTCGACTCTGAGGCCGCCCGCGCCCTGGCCGAAGCCCGCTGGGCGCGCCGCGTCGACGTCGCCGCCGCCCCCCGAGCTCCTCGGCCTCCTCCGCGGACTGCTCCTCCTCGACCGCGCCGCCAATCTCGAGCTCATCATCCGCGTCGGGGCCAGGCGCCCGGGCCCCCTCCGCCGCGCGCCGGGATGCGGCGGCAGCCGAACTCGGCGAGCTCGCCACTCCGCGAGCCACAGCTAGAGTAGGGCTGCCAGCCCCAGCATCAAGATGACCGGGATGCTTCAGTCTGTTTGCTTCGGTCTCTGCCGCTCGGAAGCGCCCCGGGCGATCTTTCCGCTCGGCGCGTGGAGCAGCGAACGCGTCAGAAACCTCCAGAGCCCCTGCCCGCCCTTTCGCCCAGACCCTGGCCGGCGCGCCGCGGCGCGTAGATGCCGACCTCGTCGCGCAAGTGGCACGCGAGGTAGCGCGCCGCCCCGTTGGCGCCCTTGTGCAAGGTCGGGTGCCCGTCGATCGCGCGCTGGTAGGGGTGGTTCGTGATGGGCAGCGGCCCGCGGCTCCGCCTCGCGGGCGGCTTGTAGTAGACGTAAGCCGTCGGCCTTCTTCGGATCTGGCATCGGCTTGGGCTTCGCCTTCGGCAGTGCCCCGTGCTGTCCACGCGATACTGTCGCGAACACTTCTGCCTCGCTGCCTTTGCTCTCGCCGTCGTGGTCGGTCACGCTGAAGTTGCTGCGCGTCGGCCTGTCCGAGGGAGGTGGTGATGATCTCGATGACTTCGCACAGTTGGGGTCTCCATGCCAATGGCCGAGCAGTCCGCAAGTCGCACGTCGTCCGCTTCAGCTTCACGATGCGAACTCGTCGTTCCGGATTCCCGCACGTGCTGATTCTGGCTGCCCCTCGAGCTCGCTCGTTGAAGACGATCTCCGCGGTCGCGCCCGCGGCCTCGGCCACGTCCGCCGACCTTGCAGTGGAATCTCTGCTATTGCTGCACGGTGGCCGCGAAGCTCTCGAGCGCCACGTCGCCCATCTGATCGATCTCCTCGAAAGTCGCCTGGTCATTGCCAAGGTAGACCGCTTCGTGGTCGCTTCCCGTGGGTGACTGAGCGCCTGGGCCGGTAGGGGCTGCTTCGCCATCTTCATACTCGTACTCGCCGTCTTCTCTGCCAGCCTGCCACGCTGACTTGTGCTGATAATATCAGTGCTGCTCCCGTCGCTGGTTGACCCGCTGAGGTCGAGGGTCTGGCCTCTGTTCGTTCTTGCCCTTCCCATTCTCGTTCGTGGATGTTCGGGCGCTGCATTCGAAGCGCCTTGCGAACGGCGTCCTTGTCGCACGCGTTGCCAGCGCTGCTGACGATTCTGGCGTGATATGATTTTTCGAACCCCGAGAACTTCAAGAAAAGATGGGCCTGCGAGTCGTTGCTGATGCTTGTCTCCTCGTTGACCTTCTTGAAATCGTCGAATGACCTCGAACGCCTGGTGATATACTCCTGCATGCTCTCTCCGGGTGACCTCCACACGGTCTTGTCGCACAGCGCGCAATCGAACAACTCAGCCGCTCGAACAGGTATGTCTCCCCTTCAGCACAGACTCGTTGAACATCGCGAGCAGCAGCCCCAGTCCGTCGGTGGTCGCCTGCTTCTTCTACCGCCACACTTGCCGCCGCTCTCGATCGTCTCCATCTCGAAAGTGAGCAGCTGCTGGTGCGTGAGCGACCGGACCGCGTCGGAGGCCGTGCCCGAGAGACCGTTCATGCGGTTGACAAACGTCGCTATTTGCTTTTCGTCACCCATGCACCCGTACAAGGCGTCTCGAGTTCTCTCTTGATATTCCTCGAAGAACGCAGGATCCCCATCGTAAAACGGGATGTCCTTCTCGAACTGCAGCTTCGAAGCTCTTGACATGGTTGTTGGTGCACGCGGCGGTGAGCCGCTGCCGGTCGATGAGCTGGGAATCGCACGTCCTCCGCGTGAGGCCACGCAGCTGCCAGGATTATGCACACCGCGAGAAGTCACGCAACTGCCGGGCAGGCTGGCGCGCAGTCCCGCCACGGGGCGCGACAAACAGACATCCGCGTGATCGCTGCGGAGGCGAGAACTGGCCAGGGCGAATCGGCCAGCTCCGCTACCATCAAATGGCGAGACGCCGCCCGCCGGGAGCTTTTAGGTCTTCTGCAACCGTGAACTCAAGAGCTCTGCGATCTGAAATGTTATGTATGAGCGGGTGGGAGCAGGCGGCGGCCACAGGCAGGTTAAACAAGGGATGATCGCTGGAGCAGGACCAGACCCGGCGGGCGCAGGCCCGCAGACTTTACGGACGCCACATGTTCTCAAGAACGGACAAGCGGTGGCAATTCTCTGATGGAATTGGTGGCACGTGCACTATGACCTCCGACAGGCAGCCACAGGAGTAAGGATGCAAGGCACGGACGTAACTCATTCACACGCCCATTGGCAAGGCCTGCCCTCCGACGTTGTGGAACAAAAACAAAAATACAACATCGTGAAAACCCACACAAGCGGAGCCCTCGAACGCATCTTCACGCGGCTCTCTTCATGCGGCTCTTGTCGAAGCGTAGCGACCCGTGAGGGCAGGGCCCCAGAGTGAGCGAAAACGTCCAGTGTGGAAAAACTGCGACGCCCAAGTCTCAGACCGCCGACGTCGTCGTGATTAACTATGCCACCTCTTGGACCCCTGGAGGTCTCCACCCGTTCCCCGGGACTGGTTTTTCATCCTGAGTATTGTTTTTGTAAAGTCCCGGGCGCAACGAGGGCCCCCCAGAGGCCGAACATACACCCAAAAACTCCCGTTGCGACTTCCTCCGCGACGCGAGAGGGTCTGGGATATCAGGGTGGCTCTGGGCATAGACCCCCCGCGAAGTACAGCCCAGCCCTGCCTGATTGGCCCCCATGGGCAGCCCCCAAGCCGGGCCCGCCTGGACCGCTCCGCACCGCGAGGACAGGGGAAACTGAGAAGAGAGAGGGCACGGTCGACGGCGCGCCGAAAATTTTCTGAAGCGTTTTCGCTGATTTTCGCGGCGTGTTCGGTGGCTCTCGGCGGTTTTCAAGCCTCGGGGTGCGTTTCAGGGGCTGCGCCTCGCTGAGGGCGTTCTGGGGGTGTATGGATCGTCCCGAACGGCCGCTGGAGACCCGAGTTGACCCGAACGCCAAAACCTCGTCGCTCGGCGGCGCGCCAAGTGGGGGAAGCGAGAGAGGGTAGGTCTTCTCAGACGGCCGCTGGGCTTCTCGAACAAATAATTTCTGAGCCCTCTGCGGATTCGGAGAAGGCTTACAAAGCTGCTCAGAAGGCTGGAGGCTTTCCATAGCTTCTGAAGTGCCCCGCCCCTTTCTGCGTTCCCCCCTTCGGGGGCAGAATGGTGAGACATATTGGTATAGCAAGATCACGGTATGACATACTACGGGCCCTGGTCGACGAGGGTCGAAGAGGGCAAGCGTCGGAGACGAGAACGGACCATGCGGAGAAGAGGGCAAGCGTCGGAGACGAGAACGGACCGTGAAGAAACCGAAGCCGAGCAGAGAGCACGACAGCAGCGCAAGGACGCACATCCCTACGACATGAGAACAAACTGCTCCACAAACTGCAGCGCTGCACGCGTCGCCATCCCAACGTGGGTGTAGGTCAACAAGTTGTCATTGTACACTTGCGTGAACGGCCCACCAAGACCGTCGTCCTGGCACCCGCCTCACCGAGGGGCTCTCAGCTGATCCTGCCGACGCTTGCTCCGCGCGCCCCCTGCCTATTCTGACGCGCGGCGAACATCTGCCTATCCATGCCCTCGCGGTTTGGACTCCGGGGCGCGATCACGTGGATGCGCGGTCGCACGGATACGCTCCGCGCGGAAGATCAGCGAAAACACGCTCCGAATCCATGGTGTCGCGGCCCAGGAGATACGCCCGAGAAGCCGTGGATATAGATACGAGCTCCCGCCAGCGATACTTGACTGACTCAATTGCCCCGATACACAACACGCAACACGTAGCGTTTTGATATGGAGCTCAACACGTAGACTGGACGTTTAGGTTTGACGCGATCAAAAAAGTGGGCCAATACGCTCAACCAACACGCAACGTATTGACACAGACGTTTTAAGCACGGTAGGCGTTGCGTCTCAAAAAACGGCGTATCGGGGCAGCTAAGTTGACTGATGAGGGGCCGCGGTGCACAAAGCGCGCCGTCGAGACATCCCCATCCCGTCGAGCCCAAACAGACACGATCTGCGCCCTCCGCCGCCTGCCTGCCGCTTCACCGCATCCTCGCCCGTCGCGGCCCTGCTGTATCTCAGACGCCCTCTCCTCCAGCTCCCCCAGCAACCCCAGCTCTCGCTCTGTTTTTGTTTTTTGTTTTGTTTCCTATCTCTCTCTCTCTCTCTCGATATGACTCCCTTTCTCTCTTTCTCTCGCCATCTCTCTCTCTCTGTGTCTCTAGCCCTTGTCTCTCGAGCCCTTGTCCCCCAGCCTCCAACCGGGGCTTCGTCGACCTGGGCCCTGTTCCCTCGCGGGGAGCCGAGAGACTTGGCGCATCACCTGCTCAGCACCCCGTCACTTGCCTCGGTCGCTTTGCATCGGGGTGTGGTTGTTTCAACACTCCCCGTACTTTAAGGTGAGCGCCGCCGCCAAGGGTGCGATGGCGGCCTTGGCTACTGCAGTAGCCAGCTGCCGACGGGACTCTCATTTGCTTGTCCGACCTCTCCCTCTCTCTATATCTCTCTCTTCTTGATTTGTTTTTGTTCTCTCGTTATATATATATATATATATATATATATATTTCTCTTGGTTTGTTTGTTTGTTCTCTCTCTCTCTCTCTCTCTCCCTTTTGTTTTCGGTTTCCCTCTCTCTCTCTCTGCGCACTGCTGACGCCGCCGCACAGGTCCCTGCGGGGCGACGCGATATTATCTCCCTCTCTCCCCCCCCTCTCTCTCTCTCTACCTCCCTCCTTCCCTCCCTCCCGCCCGACCTCCCTCCCTCTCGCCCCCCCTCCCTCTGTCTCTCTTTCTCTCTTTCTCTCTCGCTCTCTCTCTCTCTCTCTCTCTGTCTCGCTCTCGCTATTTTTGTGGTTCTCTCTCTCTCTGTCTCTGTGTCTCTCTCTCTCTCTCTCTTTCTCTCTCTCCCCCCCGTCTCTAGATCTATAGGTGTCCAAAGTTCTTAGCCGCTGTAGCGCACGGCGGGACGCCAAGCCTCAAAAGTGCACGTGTGAAGCTTCAGCCTTAAGCTTGAGATTGAAGCTTCAGATCTGGCCTGGCTGGCCTGGTTGGTTTGAGCTTACTGCTGAAGCTTTAGCTTAGGATTCGGGCAAGAGTGGTTTAGGGGAGGTCCAGACAGGCAACGCCAACCACTACCACCGAAAAGCAATGGTGCTTGCATTGCCGTTATGTGTTGTGTGTTGCTTTTGCAGTGCAGTTTTGTTGCATCTGCTCTGGCTGGTCTGGTTGGTCTGGTTTGAGTTTAGTGCTGAAGCTTTAGCTGAGGATTCGGGCGAGAGTGGTTTAGGGGAGGTCCAGGGAGGCAGCGCCACCATCTACCATCGAAGAATAATGTTTGTGCGCTGCAGTTTTTGTGTGCAGCGCATGCTGCTTTTGCATTGCAGTTTTTTTGCATCTGGTCTGGCTGGTCTGGTTGTTCTTGTCTGGTCGACGTGCTTTGTGAATCGCCCACTCCATGGCCTGGCTGGTCTGGTCTGGTGATTGGTCTAGCTGGTCTGGCTTGGTCTGTCTGGTTGGTCTGGTCTGTGTTGGTCTGGTTGGTCTAGTCAAGCTCGGTTGGTCTGGTTTGGTATGGTCGGTCTGGTCTGGCTGGTCTCACCAACTGGTCTTGTTTGGTCTGCTTGGTCTGGTCTGGTCAACGTGCTTCGGGAATCGCCCCCACCCCCCCTTGGTCTGCCTGGTCTGGTCGGGTGTTTGGTCTAGCTGGTCTGGTGTGGTCCCGCTGGTCGAATATAATGCACCTTGTTGGCCTGGATGGTCTGGTCTAGTTTGGTCTGGCTAGTCTGGTCTAGTCTGGTTGGTCTCGTTTGGTCGGATTGGTCTGGTCTTGTTGGTCTCGTCGGCTGGTCTGGTTTGGTCTGGTTGGTCTGGTCTACTCAACGTGCTTCGTGAGTCGCTCCCCGCCCTCCCCCCCTGGTCTAGCTGGCTCGGTCTGGTGTTTGGTATTGCTGGTCTGGTTTGGTCTGGTTTGGTTGGTCGAGTAGTTCACCATGTTGGTTTTGCTGGTCTGGTCTGGTTTGGTCTGCTTGGCATGATTCGTCTGGTCTGGTCAACGTGCTTCGTGAATCGCAGTATGCCCCCCTGGTCTGGCTGGTCTGGTCTGGCCTGACTGCGGCGGAAAGGGAAGCGAGCGGGGAGGGAACACCGGCAGCCATATTAATTCTTTTGGCGCAAAACAAAGTAAGGCGCTGGGGCGTAGGAACTGTTCGCCTCGAGCGGCTCAGAACACCTGACTCTCACGTCTGTACATCTCTCTCTCTCTCTCGCTCCCTCTCTCTCTATATACATGTCCCGCGGTGTTTCTACAAGAACAACCCCCAGCCGTTCGTCAACACGCAACCAGCGTGAGTCATAGCCACGCGCCCTGGCTGCACGAGAGGCCGATTGTAAAGACGAAATGCGGATACCTGGCTCAAGGAGTGGAGGCGGAGGAGAAACAATTACCAAGCATCACACAAACAAGAACCAAACAGCATTAAAATAAGCAGTGGAATAGCGGTTTGGAAGAAAGAGACCCCTGCTGCGTGGCACCCCGTACGGCCTACACCGCCAAGTGCACCACGAAGACATCAGTAGATGGACAGCAGCGGCTCGGGTGAAGGAGGAGAATGAGGGGAGGAAGAAGGGAGGAGTCGCGAGGAGTAGGGAGGAGTGATCGATGGAGGGAGGGAGGGAGGGAGGGAGGGAGGGAGGGAGGGAGGGAGGGAGGGAGGAGGGAGGGAGGGAGGAGGGAGGAGGGAGGATGGAGGAGGAGGACGAGGAGGAGGAGGAGGAAGAGGAGAAGGAGAAGGAGGAGGAGCATGAGGAGGAACAGGAGGAGGGAGGGAGTGATGGAGGTAGGAAGGAGGGAGGGAGGAGGGAGGGAGGAGGAAGGAAAAGCAGGAGGAGGGAGGGAGGAGCCCTGTCCCACCCACCCCCATCACCCCCCAAGGGCCCCTCCACGTGGACCGTGTAGCTGGTGGGCGGCAGCCCGCCCGTGTCCGCGGGCTCGCTCCTGGGCGCGCGCCATCGGGCAGTGCCCGGGGGGGACGGCGGCGGAGGCGAGGGCAACAACGGCGACCCACGACGACGACGACGACGACGACGACGACGACGACGACGGCGACGACGACGACAACAATGACATCCTGCTGCCGCTTTTTCCTCCTTCTTGTCCTCCTTTTCCTCCTCCTCCTCCTTCTCCTCCTTCTCCTACTTCTCCTACTCCTTCCCCTTCTCCTACCACCAGCTCGAGCGCTCCCGCACGCTAGGGGGACGTCAACGACGACGACGACGACAACGACGACGATGACGACGACGTAATCTCGATCGACGAAGCCCGATCTTCGACCTTGATCAGAGATGTGTCTCTGAATGCAAAGTTGGGTGCTCTGTGGCCAGAATGTCGAAGGGAAATCAGAAGCCATGGCCACGAGACCACAGGACGCCCATAAAAAAGGGTCTGGAAAAAAGGCTCCAACACATAAATTTGCGACCCTCACTCCCAGACCCCCGACGTAATGATTTTGTTCAGGACATCGCCCCACATGCAGAGGTCTCGACCCATTCATGGGATCGTTTGTTCAACCCTGGGAGTTTATAGACTGCCCCAGGGCCTGGCGAGGACACCCACAGACAGACCATAACAGCAACAACAACAACACATGTTAGCAATTGCGGACCCCAAACCGTATTATCTGTAATGCTGTGCGCTGCAAACGAAAAGCGTGCAATCTACGTGGTGCAATCTATGTGGCGAAAGCTATGTGGTGCGATCTATGTGGTACAATTCACTTGTCGAACTTGAAGTGGTCAACTCCACTGCTCGCGCAAACATCCCACCCACCCACCCGCAACTTAGTTTGGAAAATATCTTAAGACCTTGACGGTGGGTACCAAATGGCACTTGGCAACGACAGCGACGCCGACGACGACAGCGACAACGACGACGACGACGCCGCCGACAACGACTACGACGGCACCGACGACGTCTCCAACGACTCCGACGACGTCTCCAACGACGACGACGACGCCGACAACGACGACACCGACGACGACGACGACGACGCCGACGCCGACGCCGCCGACGACGACGACGATGACAACGACGACGACGATGACGACGCCGACGAGGACGACATCGACGACACCGACCACGACGACGATGACGTCAACGACGCCGACGACGACGACGAAAACGGCGACGTCGACGACGACGAAGACGACGGCGACGACGCCGACGCCGACGACGACGAAGACGACGAGGACGTCGCCAGCGAAGACGATGACGAGGGAGGAGGGAGGACGACGACGGCGACAACGACGACAACGACGACACGACGACAACGACGAGGGAGGAGGGAGGACGGCGACGACGCGAACGACAAAGAAGGGGGAAGGACGGCGACGCCGACGACGACAACGACGGGAGAGGAGGGAAGACGACGACGACGACGACGACGACGACGACGACGACGACGACGACGACGACGGCGACGAAATAGGAGGGACGACGACGAGACGCGGACGACGGACGACGACGACGACGACGTGGGAGGAGGAGGAAGGACGACGACGGGGACAACGACGACTGAAACGACCACGACGCCAAAGAGAACGACGACGACGAACACGAGGAGAGACAGAGGACGACGTAGGCGACGACGACGACGACGCGGGAGGAGGGAGGACGGCGACGACGACGACGACGACGACGCAAGAGCGCGCGCGCACGCTTTTGTTGAAAATGAATGTTGCGAAACCTTGTGTTTGTTTGGCAAGTTTTTTGGACACACGATTTTGAAATCCTTCCGAAACTGGGGGTTTTGAAGGATTTTGGTATACGCGCGCGACGACGCGCGCGTCTGCACTTCGTCCCATTTTTTGCAGAGGATTCTCGCGACGACGCACGCGCAATGCCGTTCGATAGATTTCGACATGCGCGCGCGAAGCCCGTTTGATAGCATTTTGTGAAAACCTTGAAAAAAACGATGGTTTCCTTGAGATTTCGCAAGAGCTCGCGCGTAAGCTTTTTTAGCAAATCAGTGTTGCGAAACCCTGTGTTTTTGTGTTTTGTTTGGGAACTCGATTGCGAAATCCTTCCGGCACCGAATGTTTTTGAAGGATTTAGGCATGCGCGCGCGACGACGCGCGCGTGCACTTCGTCCAATTGTATGTTAGAACAAAAGATGTCCCCACGTATTGTTTTTTTACAAGGGGACCTCAGGGGGAGCGATACCGGCCCCCCGGGGATAGTGCAAAGTCATATTTAAGATGGACATGTGGTCATACTCATACATGGTTTACATACCCGAAATGGGTACGGATAACGCCGGGGGGGTAGAGTCTATTCTGTTTTTAGAAAGGAGAGTATATCTGGTGCAGTTGTTTTTCACCCATGATTTGCCGATATTGCCTTGCCACTGTCGTTTGGAAAAGAAGGAGGAAGAGGAAGAAGAAGAGGAGGAGGAGCAGGAGGAGGAAGAGGGGAGGAGAAGGATGAGGAGGAGGCCTCTCGATTCCTCTTGATGACTTTTTGTGGCGTTTTGGGGTCATCTTGGGTGCTTCCTGGGGGGTTCTCGGGACCCCCAGGGGACCTCTCTGCGCCTGGAGCTCGACATGTCCGTTCGGGTCCCTCGTCTGGGCCCGCTCTTGGAGCCGTCTTGGGAGCCTATTCGGCCATCTTGGAAACCGTGGCTTTCCTGAAGCCCTCTGGGACAAAGGGTGATCGCTGCCAACGGATGGGGGGGGTCACTGCCAGCGTAGGGGGCGGGATCTGCCAGCGGAGGGGGGGGGCGCTGCCAGCGGTCTGGGGCTGGCGTGTTGCGCGACATGCGCGTTCGGAGACTCACCCGGGGGAGTTGCGAAAACCGTACGTTTTCTACAGGTTCTCGATGTGCAGAAACGTCGATCGCCGTGCGAAACTCTGTAAATCCGACCTCGTGGCCGATTGCGCCCCCTGCTCAACCCTCATCCTTCATCCCCCATCCGCCCTTATCTCTCTTCCTCCGCCCGCGCCTCCTTCCTCCTCCTCTATCCCTCCCGACGTCGGCGGCGCCGCCATCGCGGGGGCGTTGCACTGGAGGCGTCAGTTGCATGGGTGGGGAGGGCGTCGGGGGGAGAAGGGGGAAGGGGGATGAGGAGGACGATGATGACGAGGAGTACGATTAGGACGAGGTGGAGGATGACCAGCACGGGGCGGACGAGGGGGGGATGTGGGAGAAGGTTGCTGAGCAGCAGCAGCGGCAGCAGCAGCAGCCGCTGCTGATGCCGCTGCCGCTGCTGCCGCGGAAGGACGAGACGTTGAAGTGGGCGGGGAAGATGATGCGGAGGCGCGTCGGCGTGGCCAGCCCAACCCCCCGTGAAACATCGCCCCCGCCACGACCTCCCCTTGAGACTGGAGACACGCCAGCCAGACTTTCGTGCACATGGCCCCACCTGGTCACAGCGCGACGTGTACAATGCCTGCTAGCGGGGCTGCAGCGATGCGGGGGACCCCGCCTCCTCCCCCCCACCCCGGGGATGCGTTCCTCTCGGAGGGAGTCGTCGTGATGCCGCTATCGTCGGCAATGCGTTTGAAGGACTGTGGCATGACGTTGGTAGCCCCGGTGGCCGTGCGTTGACAGTGCGTTGGCAGACCGTTGGCAGTACGTTGGTATTCCGGCGAAACCTTCCGTTGGCAGGCCGGTGACATGCTGATGGCAGGCCGCTGGCAAGACGTTGGCAGGCCGCTGGCAGGACGTTGGCAGGCCGCTGACCGGCCGCTGGCAGGTCACTGGTAGGCCGCTGGCAGGCCGCTGGCAGACCACTGGCATGCCGATGGCCGACCGCTGCCAGCGGTCTGCCAGCTGCCTGCCAGCGGTCTGCCAGCTGCCTGCCAGCCGTCGTCCAGCGGCCTGCCAGCTGCCTGCCAGCGGCCTGCCAGCGGTCTGCCATCGTCCTGCTAGCGGCCTGCCAGCTGGCTGCCAGCGGCCTGCCAGCGGCCTGTCAGCGACCTGGCAGCGGTCTGTCAGCGGCCTCTCAGCGGTCTGCCAGCTGCCTGCCAGCGGCCTGCCAGCGGTCTACCAGCGTCATACTACCAGCGGTCTGCCATCGTCCTGCTAGCGGCCTGCCAGCTGGCTGCCAGCGGCCTGCCAGCGGCCTGTAAGCGGCCTGCCAGCGGTCTGTCAGCGGCCTGGCAGCGGTCTGCCAGCTGCCTGCCAGAGGCCTGCCAGCGGCCTGCCATCGGTCTGCCAGCGGCCTGCCACCGGTGATACGTGATACTGACGCCCTGTCAACGTCCTGCCACCGTCCTGCCATCGTACTGCCACCGCGTTATGCTGTCGTCCCGTCACTGTCCTGTCACTGTCCTGTCATTGTCCTGCCAACGTCCTGGCAGCGCCCTGTCATCATCACACGACCAACGGCATGTAACCGTCCTGTCGGCGCCCTGCGGGCGTCCTACTCCACGTCCTGTCCTCGTCCTGCGACTGTCCTTTCACCACCTTGCTCACGTCGAGCCACGTCGGGTCGACGACGACGCGGCCGCGAGAAGGCCCTGAAAGCCCCACGACCCAAAACACCCCCAAACAAAAACCCAATCTGTTTCCAACCGACAACGCCGACGACGCGTCCGCACTCGTCCGACGCTGACGACAGCACGTCCGTCCGACAACGAGTGCGACGGTTCAGTGCGACGACGACGACGAATCCGCACGACGAAGACGACGACGATGACGGCTGAGTCGACGACGTGTACGCGCAAACGGTTGCGGCGCCGATACTGCCTCCTCGTCCTCCTCATCCGCTTTTTTTTTGTGGGCTTGGGCGGTGACGCAGCTCGGGGAAACTAAACTACCGACTGCGTCCACTGACAGACACGCGTCGAGATTGGCGGCGTCGACGTCGGGCCATCCCCCCACACCTCCCCACTCCCCTTGTCGCGGCACTGTTGCCGTCGTCGATCGCCATCGGTCTGTAGGCTTTGCGTCGACTGTCTCGCGCTGCACCTCGGGCCGCCTTGGGCCCCCCCTGCCGTTTCGGCGGGAGGCGCAAGCTGCCACGAGGTCGGAGTGTCGCAGATTCGCACGGCGATCGAATTTTCTGCAAATCGAAAACCAGTAGAAAAGGTGCGGTTTTCGCAACTCTCCCAGGGGAGTCTCGGAACGCTTATATCGTGCAACACGCCAACCCCGGACCGCTGGCAGAGACCCCCTCCTCCGCTGGCAGAGCCCCCCCCCCTCCGCTGGCAGCGACCACCCCCTCCGCTGGCTGACCTCCGCTGGCAGAGAGCCCCCCCGACGGTGGCAGAGAGACTCCCCACGAGAGGCCGGGGCGGAAGTGTGACAGGGGTGCAGATTCACCTTCTAGTCCCCGCCCAGTTCTTGGGTCAAGGCGAGAACGCACAACCTGCAAAAAACACACACACACACACACGCACACACACACACACACACACACGCACGCACACACACACACACACACACACGCACACACACACACACACACACACACACACACACACACACACACACACACACACACACACACACACACACACACACACACACACAAACACACAAACACACAAACACACACACACACAATTACTAATTTTTGTGCCTCTGTGGGCCCACTTGGGAGGTCTCGTGGAGGCCTCTGCGGGCGTCTTGCAGGCGCTTTGGGCTGTCTGGAGGCCATCTTTGGCGTCTTGGATCGCTCTTGGGCCGTCTCGGGCCATGTTGAGCTCTCTTGAAAACACTTGAAGCACTCCTGGAACGCTCTTGGAAGCCTGCTGGGACCTGGCCGGGACCTGGCCGGGACCTGGCCGGGACCTGGCCGGGACCTGGCCGGGACCTTGCCAAGACTTCCCGGGACTTGCCGGGACTTTGCCGGGACTTGCCGGGACCTTGCCAGGATACCTTTCGTCCGGGGACCCCCATAGGGGCGGCTCCGCGCGCGCGAACTAGAACATTATTAACCAGCCGCCGGAGATCTGAGCACGCCCTTGGCCCGTTGGGCTGGCGAGTTTGATAGGGATTGGCACCACGAGCTCATCTTAAATGAACGCATGTGCACCGCATGGTAATATTTGACAGGGATGAGGGGGCGCGGATACCTGCTCGCCTGGGATGTCATGGGGAAAACGAGCAAGGAGGCACAATCAGATGTAAATCACAATGCGCGAGGCCGAGTTGATCACCCCAAGGTGGGGTCCCTGGGGTGGGGATATCACGTGCAGGGGAGAACTCACGTGGTGCACTATGTGGCGACGGGCGACAAACCAATGCAAAGCAGCGCAACGCAATGTAAAGCAATGCTAAGCAGTGCTGAGCAGCACAGAGCAACGCAATGCACAATCATGCCAAGCAATGTCAAGAATTGCCAGCCAACGAGCACAAATGCAAAGCAATGAAACGCAACGCAAAGCAACGCAAAACGGTGCAAAGCAATACAGAACAATGCAAAGCGAAGCAATGCAACGCGATGCAAAGCAAGGCAAAACAATGCAAAACAATTCAAATCAATGCTAAACCGTAGAAAGCATAGCAAGAAATCCAGTGCAAGTCAACGGAATGCAACGCAAAGTCACGCAGAGCAATGCAAAGTAACGCAGGCCCAGACGGCGACGGCGCAGCGACGACGACCACGTAGCTGCCATACCGACGGGCGGGCCCAGAGTGACGGGGCGGCGACGGCGACCACATAGCCGCCAAACCGACGGGCAGGCCCAGAAGACGGGCGGCAACGAGGCGGCGACGGGGCAGCGACGGCGGCCACATAGCCGCCAGACCAACGGGCAGGCCCATTTCCGCAGAAACAAGCCCGAAGTGAACGCTTTGGTTGTGAAGAAAACGTGACGAATTTTGCTGACGACGCGAGGGGGTCTGGGGCGCCCCTACCCGCTGTGGTCCAGGCGAGGGTCACCGAGAGGAGCGTGGACGCGGCCAGGTACACAACGGGCGGCTGCGACGGCACCTGCCGCGGCGGGGCGCCAAGCTGGCTGGGAGCCTCTGCCAGGGGCAGCCTACCTCCTCCTCATCAGCCTCCTGTGGCCGCGGAGTGAGGCGGGAAGAGGGCGGAGGCGGAGACGACGGAGGAGACGACGGAGGAGACGACGGAGGAGAAAAAAATGGGAGGCAGAGGGGAGGCAGGGCGAAAGAGGAGGGACGAGGGAGGGAGGGAGCGACGGATGGGGCCGCGCGGAGAGGGGGGGCGATGGCGAAACCAAAAGATACCGATGCGTATTATGGCAAGAACCTCGCAGCGAATCCAGCCGTGGCGACGAGGGCACCTAACCGACCCTGGCCCGACCGATCCTGGCCCAGGCTCCAGGACTCGCCCCTCCCCTCCAAGGACCCCCTCTTCTTTGTAGATGCGTGTTAACAATGCAGGATCTTTTTTTCTCGCGTTGAAGATCGACGTTGCGTTATTATGTTAGGGTGGCATTTTCGGGTCCAGAACCGGCCCGGGGCCCAACTTTCTGACTTCTGAATGTTGTCCTTGCGTTTCAAAGACGCCTTTAGGAACGCCGCGAAAGTATATACACAGACACCCGCTAACGACTTGCGCATGTACTTTCAGGGAGGGCGGCGGTGTGTAAAGTCGTTGGCTCTCAGTGATGATCTATACAACACCACCCTACCCTGAGGCCCATGAAAAATCCATTGGATGGTGTCTGTGCTTGTTGTGGCGGATGAGGTTCACCATGCCGCCTGCTTGACGCCCAATGTCTGGGGTGCCATTGTTTAACACGCTGTGGTCTAGCCAAGAGCGAAGGTTGGAAAACGGAGGGGGAGAAACAAGAAGGCCCCAGCGCGACCAGGAACAACGACGGTCGGGAACTTTGCGGCGGCGCCAGCGACACGCTATGCCCTGCAAGCGGACAGCGTGTCGCTCCGCTCCGCGGGGCGGGAGACTCGGAAGAGAAGGGGACGTGGACGATCGAAACTTGGGACGTGGATACGTGTCGCGCCGAAGCCCAATGGACCAGAACTGGCGGCGCGACACGCTAAGGCAACGTTCCCGACCGTACTCATGCGGACATGGGCGTGGCAAGAGGTTGTTATTTCGTTCAAACATATGTACCGACATGGGCACTACTTGGCTCCAACAAAAGTTTCCTTGGAAACTCGCAAGAGGAATAATATGTATGCAAACCCGTCGGCATGATGAAAAGTAGCGCGCGCGTGCTCAGCGTGCGCACGCACGCGATCCCAAGACGTCCCATGGCCACAACATGCTTCCAGGAATGCCTCAGGCCACGGACGATAACGTCCAGAGGACCCAGGATGATGCCACCCCAACGCGATCCCGTCATGGAGTCTGGACCGTCTCAGGCCGACTCGCAGATGACGAAACACATGATCAACGCGTGACGCCGAGATGGCCCGATGGCAACAAGATGGATCCAAGCGCACCCAGGGTGGCCTCATAATGACCACGCGATGGTTGCGTGATCCAAACATGACCGGGATATGATCTCAAGATGACCTCAAGACGACCCCGACACGGCAATAATACTGCAACTTATGAGCCCCATCTTACTTCGAGCCGATCCCAGCATGGTGGGATCCGTGAACGGCCCGGGATTTTGGTCTACCCCATTTTGAATGGGTGGGATTTTGATCGTCCTGAAGTAAACTTATAATATTAAAGCGGAATAAGCCAGGCGGGATCCCGCCCGGCCCACGGAGGAAGACAACATTGCTAGGCTTCTACGGGGGTAGGGGGTTCGGAAGGGGCGTCGTTTACTTCCGCTGACATTGGCAAGCCTTCCGGCGGCCTTCCCCCGTCTTCCGCCTCGTTTTACTTCCGTCGACTTCCGCCGGCCAGCGTCGTGATGTAAATTCCTGGAACTTTCATTGGGCCGATGTAATCAATGAGACTTCGCACCCTGGACGTACAATCCGCCCGGGAGCCCAGGCTGTTAGGTATGCTGCTGGACTGTTTGCTGATGTTCTTTGTGTTTCCTTTTGTCTGTGGTCTCTTTTCCTAGAGGCAGCATCCATTGCATGGCTATGAACTTTCCACTGGCTGCGCGGATCTCTTGCATCTGCGCTGGACGCCCCTCCCTGGCACGTGGAGCGCGCCAGGGGCGGCGCCAGAGGAACCCGCCAGGAGGGCCCAGCACCGATCCAAGAAATCCGCGCGGACCTCCGAACGTTTGTGTGTGTATGCAGCTCCTTCTTCTTCGACTCCAGCCCTGCCTCCACTTTCGTCGGCGAGATCGCCCAACGCTCGCACGGGGCCCCTGCCCCGCGGCGGCGGGGAGCCGAGAGAGCCTCCTGCCTCGCCCTGGCGGGAGCCCGCCGCGCGTGCCTCGGCCACGCCAGGGCGGCCCTCCTGCCGCGCGACATCGTGCCCCGGACCCCCGTGGTGTCGCGAAGAGGTCTAGGCTCGAGGTTCGGAGTTGTCGTGCGTCTTCGTCGGTTCTCGGCAGTTTTCCAGCGTCGGGATGCTCTCCAGCAGCTGCGCCTCGCCGAGGGCGTTCCCGGGGTGCCCAGCCGTCGCGAAACTATCGCAAAATACGTTGTTTGTTTGCAATTTTCGACCTCTGGAGGCATTCACCGGGCTATGGGGCCGTCAAAGAACAGCTCGGAATGAAAAGCTGGTCCCAGGGAATGGGTCGAGACTTCTGCGAGACGTGAACCCCACATCTCCGAAGGTCTGACTTGTACAAGTCCGTGCGTTCTGTCCTCCATGTCGGCCTACATGGCCCCAGGGAAGGGGTTGGGACTTCTGGGGCCGCGCATTGGAACAAAAACGTCGTCAGATGTTGTGGAACCGCTCTCCGCAGAGGGCATCAGCAGCCGAGACCCGAGCGACGGCCCATGAGCGCACAAGCCTCCAGCCAGAAGGCGGAGGTCTGATCACCAAGCACAGAATCACCATGCAGATTGGCAGCCAGGGACTAGCAATTCAGGTATGGCGAAGATATTACAACATCAGAAACGCACGGCATGCTCGCACCGCCATGTAGTGCGTGATGGCGTCCGCCCTCGTGCCGGGGATGTAGTTCTGATCGTTGATGACATTGACCGACGCGACCTCGTCTGTTGTTAAGTTCGGCAGGCGGATCAGGCGGCGCAAGGACAAAGACTGGACAAACGGCGTGACCGATTGACGGTGTGGTGCGGATGATATGGTGCCTGCGACAAACAATATTGGATGCGGGCACTGCCTACACGACGGGAGATGGATGCTTTTGTTTCAGAAACGCAAGCAGATTCACACATCAACCTCGCCTACATAATCGTATCGCACCACGCCGTGATCGGCGTCACACCGTTCGCGTCTTCTGGAGAGAGACATCTGATCGTGCCCCCCGCCCGGAGGCGGAGGTTTTCAATTGAACATTTGACGCTGTAGTCGATGTGGTCGGGAACTTTTGCTCAGCGGCGGCGGCCCCGGCGACACGCTATGCCCTGCAAGCGGACAGCGTGTCGCTCAAATTCCGCGGGGCGAGAAGCTGGGGAAGGCTTGGGACGTTGACGCCTGGGAGCTGGGACGTGGAGCGTGTCGCGCTGAGGCGTGGTGGGCCACAACTGGCGAAGCGACACGCTAAGCCAGAGTTTCCGATATCATATTCATGCGGATATTGGCGAGATTGACAAGAGGCTGTTGTAGTTCAAGGAATATCTGCCAACGTGGGCGCCAAACAGTGAGGTCTTGAAACCTGGATACGAGATCTGCGAGGGAGCCGAGGCTGTGCGGTATTCTGCTGGACTGGTTTCTGATGTTCTTTGCGCTTCCTTTTATCGTTGGTCTCCTGTCTGCCCAGTCCAGCGTCCATTGCAGTGTCTACTGGAGGAACCACAGCGCCAAAAATTAGCCTGGCGAAGGACCCAACCATATGCAGTTGTGAGTACCGCAGTTGTGAATCTCGTCCTCGGTGGAGTGAGTGGCCTGCCTGCCACGAACTGTGTGAGTGGCTGCTCCTTATGGGGCCACGAACTGTGTGAGTGGCCTGCCACAATGGTGGTGGTGGGGAACCGCATGCGGGCACCCCCAGCGGGGCCTTCGGTGGAGCCCCCTATGGGGCCACGAAACGCTGCCCTCGGCGGGGGACCCGCATGCGAACACCCCCATTGGGGCCTTCGGTGGAGCACCCTATGGGGCCACGAAGCGCTGCCCTGGGTGGGGGACCCGCATGCGAACACCACCAATGGGGCCTTCGGTGGAGCCCTCTATGGGGCCGCGAAACGCTGTCCAGGGTGGGGAGCCCGCATGCGAACACCCCCACTGGGGCCTTCGGTGGAGCACGAAACGCTGCCCTGGGTGGGGGGCCCGCATGCGAACACCCCCAGTGGGGCCTTCGGTGGAGCTCCCTATGGGGCCACGAAATGCTGTCCTGGGTGGGGGACCCGCACGCGAACACCCCCAGTGGGGCCTTCGGTGGAGCCCCCAATGGGGCCACGAAACGCTGCCCTGGGTGGGGGACCCGCACGCGAACACCCCCACTGGGGCCTTCGGTGGAGCCCCCTATGGTGCCACGAAGCGCTGCCCTGGGTGGGGGACCCGCATGCGAACACCCCCACTGGGGCCTTCGGTGGAGCACCCTATGGGGCCACGAAACGCTGCCGTGGGTGGGGGACCCGCATGCGAACATCCCCATTGGGGCCTTCGGTGGAGCTCCCTATGGTGCCACGAAACGCTGTCCAGGATGGGGGACCCGCATGCGAACACTCCCAGTGGGGACTTCGGTGGAGCCCCCTATGGGGCAACGAAGCGCTGCCCTGGGTGGGGGACCCGCATGCGAACACCCCCAGTCGGGCCTTCGGTGGAGCTCCCTATGGAGCCACGAAACGCTGTCCAGGGTGGGGGACCCGCATGCGAACACCCCCGCTGGGGCCTTCGGTGGAGCTCCCTTTGGGGCCACGAAACGCTGTCCTGGGTGGGGGACCCGCATGCGAACACCCCCAGCGGGGCCTTCGGTGGAGCTCCCTTTGGGGCCACGAAACGCTGCCCTGGGTGGGGGACGTGCATGCGAACTCCCCCGCTGGGGCCTTCGGTGGAGCCCCCTATGGGGCCACGACACCTGCTCTGGGTGGGGAACCCGCATGCGAACACCCCCAGTGGGGCCTTCGGTGGAGCCCCCTTATGGGGCCACGAAACGCTGCCCTGGGTGGGGGACCCGCATGCGAGAGCAACCACTAGGGCCTTCGGTGGAGCTCCTTATAGGGCTACGAAACGTGTGAGAGGTGTGCCGAGAGCAGAGGCAAGGAGGGGGAGGAGGGAGAAGCGGGAGGAAGAAGGAACGCGGGGCGCTGTCTCTTCAAAACGAGGACCCAACACCACAATATGGTCGGGAACAAAAACGGACAGGAGGGCCCAAGAGGCCTCGAACACGGCCCTGGAAGGCCCCGAGAAGGCCGTCAAGAGCCCCAAACGGCCGCGACTTGCCCTTATTCGCTCCAGGGTGACTCTAAGATGGCCCAGGAGGGGCCAACAACAAAAATATGGTGTTAAACATCTTTTCCTGATCCACGTTTTGCTCCCAAGATGTCCAAATATCCCTCCAAGACGGTTCCAAGGTGGCCCAACAAAACCCCAAGACACCGCCCAAATCGCCCAGGATGGCCCAGCAAGCCCCTAAGATGACCCCAAGACGCCCTCAAGATGGGCCCAAGAGACCTTAAGATAGCCCCGAAATTTTCTGAGATGGCCCGAAGATGGCCCCGGGGATGCCCTGATGCCCCCGAGAGGCCCACTGATGGCCCCAGAATTGCACCAATATAAACCCAAAGCTGGCTCAACGCGATGCGTCGTGCGTGCGAAGCCCTGCACTGCCGCTGCCACTCCTGCTGGTGTTGCTGCTGCACTCTTCTCCAGCACCAGTGTACCGCACAGCCGTGTACAAGAGTCCGGGGGGAGGGGGGCCACACTGTGCCGACGGGACGGAGGCGGTGCGTCGACACAGCGCATGGCTGCAGCTGCAGACCGCTGTCGGACAGTACGACTGGGACACCCCGTGATTGGAAGCCAGGGCTGCGCGCCTGCGGAGCTGGACATAACAGTTGGACAGAGGAAGACGATGGCGCTGTGATTGAAAGACTGTTCAGGATGGAGTCGGGTAGAGGTCGAGGGATCGAGTCTGGAGCCCGTCCGGAAGGCAGGGAAGGCATTGGATGAGGAACGGATGAGGGATCCAGGGTCTGAAGACCCTTTGGAGCACGAGATGGAGCTTGGTCATGGGTGTGACAGCCATCCGCATCAGATAAGCGACCCTTTGGGCACGTTCCGTAACGAACGCCCCCAACGTAGATCACGACGTGCGCTCGTCATCGCTACCTGGGCCTCCAGGAGCCGTCCGTCGGCCTCGTGCCCTCAAACACATACCCACGACAAGAACGCTGTCCCAAAGATGGGGTCGACAGCTCAGGGGAACCCACGCAGCCGAAGAAAAAACACGACGTCAAACGTCTGGGATCCTGAACCGCGCGTCTCAGTCGTTTCACACCTGGCGATTTGCACTACCAATGCGGGCCCCGGGACCCTCGCGGGTCGTTCCGGCTCGAAAAATGCAACCAAAAGATTGGGTCCCAGGCTCCGGTTCTGATGCTTCAGGATGCTGCAGTTTTGATCGTGCGCGGTCACTTTCGCGCCCCCGGGCGGCCCCACTGGGAAGAACAGGTCGCCAGCCCAGACCGCCCGGCGCGAAGCGCGATTCACTCATCGTCGTGCGAAGAGGGAGCAGGATGCAGGAAGGAATAAGGGGGAGGGGGGAGAAAGGTAGGAGAAGGGAGGAGCGAGGAACAGCGAAACGGGGAGGACGCGGAGGGGGAGGACGAGGCGGATGGAGATTGACATATTCCTTTGCGCAATTCCCCCTCCTCGTCGTCGCGCATTCGTCGTTGTCGTATTCCTCCTTCTCCTCCTCCTCCTCCGCCTCCTCCTCCTCCTCCTCCTCCTCCTTCTCCTCCTCCTCCTCCTCCTCCTCCTCCTCCTCCTCCGCCTCCTCCCGCTCATCCTCCTCATCTTCTCCCTTTTCTTCCTCTGTCCCCTCCATTGTCCATTCTCCCAATTCCCATCCTCCTTCCCCTCCCCATGGCCCCACAGTCGCCCTCGCCCCCCTTCCACTTCGAGACCTCTGGAAGCCCATCCTCCTCCCCCTCCTCCTCCGCTCCTCCGCCTCCTCCTCCTCCTCCTGCCCCTCCTCTTCCTTCTGCCCCTCCTCTCCTCCAGCGGAAAGACAGGGAGGGGGCAGAGGCGGGCCAGCAAGCAGCACCGCGGGGCCAAGCAGTCCTGACTCGGAGCCGTGCAGAACCGACAAGGGGGAGAGGAAACACGAGGGGGGAGAGAGCAGGAATGGACCGGGAGGCGAAAGAGACGGGCGCACGGCAGGGCGGCGCGCGCCGCCGACCCCCCCCCCTTAGGCGCGCGCGCGCCCGCTGGAGCCATGGAGCGGGAAAGGAGGGGGGGGGGGGGGCAGGGGGAGGGGCGGGGGAAAAAGCGCGGGGAGGGAGGAGGCGAAGCGCGAGGCGCGCGCGACAGCGAAGGCGGCCCGGCAGGGGCATGGAGAGGAAAGGAGGGGCGGGCGGGGGCGGGTGGGGGCGGGGCCGGTCGGGCCAGCGCTGGTCGTAGGTGCGGCGGTGGCCGTGGCGGGCGTAGGTGTGGCCGCTGGTCGCGGTAGTGGGCGCCATGGCGATGGCGGGTGCGGTGGTCGAGCCGGCGGCCATGGTGGGGGCGGCTCTAGTGGCGGTCGAGCTGCTGGCTGCCGCGGCAGTTCACGGCCGCCCTGGCCGCTGCGGAGCTGCTGGCGGCGAGACGCGCCCTCTCGGCGTGCCCCTGGCAGCGCCCTCACCGCCCCACGGCTGCCAAGATGGCCTCGGCGTTTCCCAGGATGCAACCGCATGTTGCCGGCCATGGCGGATGACCTCGAGTCCGCTCCGCCGGGGCCACGTCGTGGTCCCACGAGCGGACGTGCGCCGCGGTGGCGTCTCCTGGGCGGCCCCCTGCTTCGAAGACCACAGGGATGAGCTGCCCCCCCCCCCCCCCCTGGGCGGGTAGCGCCCCCTCCTGGCGTCCTCCGCGCTGGTCGCGGCGAG